TTTGTCACTTACCTCATGCTACCTCATTATGATTCACGGTTTTTGTCTTGTTTTTTCATGCCAACAGCTTTGTTTAACACTAGAACCGCCAGAGATTTTTTATACCTAAAACCGCCACCTGGGTCAAATTGACCCGCTATTAGAATGCATTGATTTTCAAGGTAAAATGTTCTTTTATTGAACAGAGAGTTTTGATCGCACAGGGATGAAACGTATACCAATATAATCTGTGGACTCTCAGGGCTCGACATTATAAATGGCCCGCTGGCCCGGAAGCATTATTTATACACCGCGGCCAGCATAACGTACTTTCAACTCGCCCCACAGCTGTTTGCTGCGGAGCGTGAGCGGGAGCGCACTCCTTCACTACAGACTGTCTCTCTCTCTCTCTCTCTCTCTCTATCTATAACTATCTATCAATATATCTATCCATCTCTCTCTCTCTCTCTCTCTATCTATAACTATCTATCAATATATCTATCCATCTATCTCTCTCTCAATCTATCTCTCAGTCTATAAGGAACCGCAGTAGACAAAAGGCGTTGCTATAGCAACACGTCATGTTTATATGAAAAGGGGTGGGGTCAATATGACCCGCTGGGCGGAAATAGGTATAAATGGCAATTTTTTTGGCGATTTCTTCAATCTGACTTCATATTGACAATTTTTAACAACATAGGGTGCTACATAACACACTTTCAGGAAAAGTCACGGACTGGAAGACTTTAATATTTTATTGAAAAAAAGTTACACGCAATAAAAAACAGCTCTGGGTCAAATTGACCCGATTGGCGGTTCTAGTGTTAAATACATTATAACATTACATTACATGTCACTTGTTAGACGCTTTTATCCAAAGCGACTTACATACTCAATACTGTGGGCAATCCCCACAGGAGCAATTTGGGGTGAAGTGTTCAGGGACACAACGACATGCTGACTGCAGTGGGGTTTGAACCTGTGCTCCCCTGATCCGAACACCAACGCCCTACCCGCTGCGCCACACGCCTCTCACTTTTGTTTTGAAACCCGCTTCCCTTTTTAACTGCATTTGAGTCCTAATATTCCCGGATCCTGACAGTTTATCATTGCTTTGAGAAAAAAGATTATTAATTTAACCCTTTTAGAAGGGAAGTTATTGTCATCTGTTCTGGGAATGTCATTTTCGAGCCTGAGACCTGAAAAACGGGCTTGGGGTTTAACAGGTTTAGAGCAGCTCAAACGGGCTTTTTATGTTCTTTTCAGGTTCTGGTAGTAAACAAAAGACTCAGGTTGTGCAACAGTAAAAAATGCAAGGATTCTTGAGAAAAAACGGTTGCTAAAATGTCAATAATTATTTTGGTAACACTTTATATTACACGCATTCAGCATGAACACGTTGTTAATTAGATAGAAATACTTAATTTTGAGTTATTTAGACACAATTAACACTTATAGTTTCATGTCTTGTTACATAAGAATAGATCATATTTGTTAAGTGTTATTATGGGAGAGTTACTATTCTTATTAGGCCCTTATTGAGCATATTAAGACCAAAACTCATGTATAACAACGTCCTTACCAACCATAGTGTTACCATTGTTTTTTACTGTTTTGGTTTTAACAAAGATTTATAATTACGAGACCCCTGAGCTGAAGGTTGTTATCGCATCATTAACACTGGAACAAATGCTGCTCCGAAAACAAGTTCAACAATAATGAAAACAAGGTGTTACAATAGAACAAGTGAACATTAGCTTGGTGAGATTTCTAGAAATAAGAAGGGATGTTTAGATAAATCAGATCTTGTAATTAGCTGGAGAACTCAACTATATTTGACCAGAATCAGGAAATGTTGTGTTACAAAATAATCCGCAAACGCTCAAAGGTTTTCTGTTTTCTGATGTTAGTTGGTGATTTTCTAATAGTTGAGTTTTCATCTGAGATACGACTCAAAATAAGATGTTTTGACTTAATAAGATGTCTAAAAACAAGAGCCTATATCTCACTGCAGTGTTACTTCTGAAGTTATTGTGTCTTATATCAGGTGGAGAGACATGTTCTGACTAGATATTAGACTAAGATACTGGGAAATATTTCAGGTGAATCAACAAGTCTCACATGCATGAACAAAAATGTGCCTTTGAGCCTCAATGGTGCCAACGGAATTCATTTTGATATGGGTTAAAAGTCTTTATGAAGTAGACACCCTTCCTTAAACTCATGCAATCCACTCACATAAACACAATGCTCCATCTAAGAAGGAAACACATTTAAAACTAACATCTGAGATACGACTCAAAGTAAGATGATTTGATTTAACAAGATGATGCATTGTCTAAAAACAAGAGCCTATATCTCACTGCAGTGTCACTTCTGAAGTTATTATGTCTGATATCAGGAGTAGAGACATATTCTGATTAGATATTAGACTAAGATACTGGACAAGATTTGTAGTTTTTGTATTGAAGTTTCCTCTTTTGTTTTACTTCTTACATTTCTAACACAAATACCTGTACTTTCTACTTCTTACATTTGCAAAACACTTTAGTTTTAATCTGCGTTTGGTGGCGTGATCATTATTATTTAGAGTCATTGTTGTGCATATTGATTGTTGAGGTAAAACACAATGGTTATAATCACTCCACCACACGCTGAGGTTTACAGGTCCTCCACCCACACTGTTTGTTTTCTGGCTGTTGGTTAACAAGCCAGCAGCGAGCGCACATTTCATCTCAGCACACATAAACACAGGCATTTATATTCAGACAAGGACTACCTAGGAAACTCTCACACACACACACACACACACACACACACACACACACACACACACACACACACACACACACACACACACACACACACACACACACACACACACACACACACACACACACACGAGTCATTTTCTGAAGCACATAATAACAGTTTGGGAGCAGCTTGTTCAGACTTCCAAATGTATGTTGGCCCTCCAAACAAAAGGCGTAAACAATAATTTGAATAAATGGAGGTAATTTCCTGCGGCAGAATGTCTAATCAGAGCCGCATTCTGCTGGAGGACCACAACTGTGTGCATGTGTGTGTGTGTGGAAGGGAAAATTCAAGAGAGTTTTCAGGAATGCATGCAGAGAGAGACATAGATGAGGGGAAAAAATTATATCCCAAACTACCCGTCGTTTCTTTGCCAAGGCTGCTGGCCAACCGGAGAACACTTGGTCCATCTGCGCGAGATAAGAGCCTCTCAGACCTCCAAAACATTTACAAAATACCCGCTAACAACCCATTCATTACTCTTTGTCTCCGCTGTTCTGTTTATCACCCTCCCCTTTTCTCTCGCCATCTCTGGCTCGTTACAGGAACTCTGGTGATGTTCGTTCGTTATCTATATTCTTTCAACATTTTTGGACTGAAACTAAGGTTTGAGGTTTTATAGATAGTTCCTTTATTTGTCAAACTTGCCCTGCACCTCCACACAGGTGTCATGTTGGGAGGATTCATCCTGAAAAGTCTGCACGTAAGAAACACAAAGGTGCCTGAGTGTCTGCCCTAACTGGTGCAACAAATCTAACAGAGTGTGACATGCTAATGAAGCGTCTCACACACACACGCACGCACGCACGCACGCACGCACGCACACACACACACACACACACACACACACACACACACACACACACACACACACACACACACACACACACACACACACACACACACACACACACACACAGAAGAGGTCTAATCAGGCGCAATAAGTGAAAACACCTGTGCACATCTAGAAAAACACCTGTAGGGCCATCGAACCACATTCAACATTTGGGAATTTTGACTTCTCTAAAATGTAGAAAAATCGAATAACATTTATCAAAGTTAGGAATCAACAATTTTGTTTGTTATCTGAGAAGATAGGACAATTATGACATAGCTGACGAGACCGACAGTCTTCATTTTCATTGAGAAAACGCCACAGAACAAATCAAATGTTGTTGTTTGCATCTGGGTTGTCAGCTGTTGTTGTTGACACTGTACTCTGAGAAAAACAGATGCTCACGAATCAGAAAATGATTGATCCATAAATTGTTGCACAGCTCATTTAAACGTCTTACTTGGAACCAGATGGTTTCTCATTAAAATCCACATGTGACTCAACTGTCATCCGTTTTAATCATCTTTTTACTTTGTAGGCAGTTTGTGAATCAAACTTTTAGACTTTTAGATTAGTATAACTGATATATCTGGGTTTACTTTTGGGTTTTCACACAGTTTAGTTCTGGGTTTGTCTGCGGGAGTTCTTGATTCTGCCAAGAGTGCCCAACTGAGTTTTTGTGAAAACAGCTGGAGGATGTTTTGGATAATATGGCCACCGGCCCAGTTGATGAGCAGCTGTTCGACTCTGTGCCTAATTTAAAGGGGACCTATCATGCAAAATGCACTTTTGTACGTCTTTTCTACATGAATACGTGTCCCCGGTGTTCCAGGGAACTCACCAAGTGTCAGAAAACACAACCCTCTCTATTTTCCTCCATACCCAAATCTCTAAAAAAGGGGCTGCAACGGATCTGATAAAAACTGATCCAGATTTGAACACTGTCCTGACGTCAGGACGGTGGCACTACGGCTATTGGGCCAACTCCACCAATCAGGAGGAGACAGCCACGGCCATTGCCGTTCGAAAGTGCTGGAGACGCTGTAGTACATATGCCAGGCCTGTAGGTGGTGCTGTTCTCACTGAATCAACCCTTACAAAAACAGAGCTAACATTTTTCAAATTGAGCAAAATGAGGCATGGCTAAAATGCATGATCTGTTTGGTATTTTGAAAAAAAAAAAGTATAAATATGCCTTATATAGGTATGGTCCTACACTATATTATTAAAATATAGCATGATAGGTCCACTTTAAAACATTCTGGAACATGTGGAATGAAACGGCTCCAAACGGTTGACAACATGGTAAAGACTGAGCTATCGGTTTTTCAAGGTATTTGACTCACATCCTCACATCTTTTGTTTCCTTCAGCTTCAGCCACGGTGGAGGACTTCCAGATCCGTCCTCACTGCCTGTTCGTTCACTCGTACCGAGCTCCAACCTTCTGTGATCACTGTGGAGAGATGCTGTGGGGACTCGTCCGACAGGGACTCAAGTGTGAAGGTACACATCTACTGACAATATTACTTAGAATATTAGTGCATAATAGTTTGTTTTATTGAGTTTTAAATGTGTTTCCTTCTTAGATTGAGCATTGTGTTTATGTCAGTGGATTGCATGGGTTTAAAGGTCACCTATTATGCAAAATCCACTTCTTCATGTCTCTTCTACATCAACATGTGTCCCCTCTGTGGAAAGAGACTCTGAAAGTTTCAGGAACAAAGATTCTCTCTTTTTTTGTCCTGATCCATTTATATAAAAAAATGAGCTGATCAGATTTTGGCCACTTGATGATGTCATAACGATGTGTTGTCTTGTGTAACCATTAGCCAATCAGCAACTAAGGTAACCCCCCCCCCCACCTTATCACCTGAATCTCCTCCTAGAGCACCATTGAGTTCTTTGTAACCAAATCTCTCTCAGAGGGGCGTGGGGAGGGGCTCCTTATTTTCATCTAAAGTAACAGACAGAGAATCAGCACTTTGGAAACAGGGCTGAAACAGAGGGGATTATGGGTAATGCTGCAATGATCTGTTTGGTGTTTCAGCCAATCAGAGACAGGCTCTGTATATATCTGAGACCTGTGATATATTGATGAGAAACAGTTTAATAGGGGACCTTTAACTTGTTTTTGGAGCAGCATTGTTTTCAGTGTTGTTGTCTTTCTTTCTGTCCAGGCTGCGGACTGAACTATCACAAGCGTTGTGCCTTTAAAATCCCAAATAACTGCAGTGGAGTGAGGAGAAGGCGTCGCTCCTCCAATGTGTCCCTGACAGGAGGGCTTATAAACCTCGGACGTCCTCCTTCTGCTGAGCCCTCACCCCCCCATTACACCGATGAGGCGTTACTGGTCAGTGGATAATATAGAGATCATCTTAAACATGTCTATATGGGGATTTCTGGAGGACTTGACATTTTTTGTTGGTGCACACCTAGTTACAGAGTAGTGGAGTACAAATACTTTGTTACTGTACGTTTCTGGTATCAGTACTTTACTCCACTACTTATTTTTCTGACGACTTTTTACTTTGACTTCTTACATTTTGAACACAAATACCTGTACTTTCTACTTCTTACATGTTGAACACAAATACCTGAACTTTCTACTTCTTACATGTTGAACCCAAATACCTGTACTTTCTACTTCTTACATTTTGAACACAAATACCTGTACTTTCTACTTCTTACATGTTGAACACAAATACCTGTACTTTCTACTTCTTACATGTTGAACACAAATACCTGTACTTTCTACTTCTTACATGTTGAACACAAATACCTGTACTTTCTACTTCTTACATTTTGAACACAAATACCTGTACTTTCTACTTCTTACATGTTGAACACAAATACCTGTACTTTCTACTTCTTACATGTTGAACACAAATACCTGTACTTTCTACTTCTTACATGTTGAACACAAATACCTGAACTTTCTACTTCTTACATGTTGAACCCAAATACCTGTACTTTCTACTTCTTACATTTTGAACACAAATACCTGTACTTTCTACTTCTTACATGTTGAACACAAATACCTGTACTTTCTACTTCTTACATGTTGAACACAAATACCTGTACTTTCTACTTCTTACATGTTGAACACAAATACCTGTACTTCTACTTCTTACATGTTGAACACAAATACCTGAACTTTCTACTTCTTACATGTTGAACACAAATACCTGAACTTTCTACTTCTTACATGTTGAACACAAATACCTGAACTTTCTACTTCTTACATGTTGAACACAAATACCTGTACTTTCTACTTCTTACATGTTGAACACAAATACCTGTACTTTCTACTTCTTACATGTTGAACACAAATACCTGTACTTTCTACTTCTTACATGTTGAACACAAATACCTGTACTTTCTACTTCTTACATGTTGAACACAAATACCTGTACTTTCTACTTCTTACATGTTGAACACAAATACCTGTACTTTCTACTTCTTACATTTTCCAAACAGGCTGGTTCCTTTAGTTTGCAGAACACAGACACAGACGTTCCTTCGATCTTTACATTTTGATTAAACGTTTAAATAATCGAATGAAGATCTGGACAGCAAAACATTTGTATTCCCAATCTGTGTGTTATATCATCAAAATGCACTGTGATTATTTTTAACAATGCTTCTTGACATCATTCAGTCCGAGACAAAAGCAGCTTCTGGTTTTTTAGCTTGCAATTGCGATTTTGCCATCTGTGGACAGCAGGTTTGAATCATGCTACCAATTACCATGACAGCTGAGAGGAACAGATCCCTGCAAAAAGGCTCCTAATTATTCGTGTGAAAGTGCTTTTGTTGGTGGTGATGATTAATGCTACAAGATGACTGAAACACACAGGTCCACACTTCATGATGCAAAAGAAACATATGTTCAGGAAACAGCAAAAGATAAGAAAATAGAAAATGCTCAAAGGTGGATCGAGACTTACTTTGTTTTGGCCTACCTCTATATTGATGCAACATACTCTGAAGATCAGAGCAGGGTGTCCGCGGGGTCTTAAAAAGTATTACAGGTTGATAAATTAATTTAGCGAAAATTAAGGCTATTAAAAAGTATTAAACGGCATTTTCCAAGGTATTACATTTTGTGTAGTTTAGTTATGGCATCCCGTTGGATTTGACGTCACCTGAACAGGACATCGCACGCTCACTGCTTGATAGCGTGCTAAGGTCCGTTTACGCCGGTTGTTAAACAACATCGTTACGGGGAAATGCAAGTCTGCGTCCAAATGGTTGGAAGATAAGGAGAAAGGACAATCAATACTGTATATAGTCAATGTGAGGTAAAGTGTGTCGCCAAGGTAACCGGTTAAAACTCCAAGTGGCGATGAGGTCTTAAAATGTATGGAAAGGGTCTTAAAAAAGGTCTTAAATGTGAGTGCAGTGGAAACACATGATGAAATGGCATTTAAAAACAGTCATCAAAAAGCAAAGATAGCTAAATAAACATAACAAATACATGAATAAAAGTTACAGAGCAGTGTGAGATATGAATAGTTTAACTAAAAGCAGATGGAAAAGTCTTCAGCCTGGATTTAAAAGGACCTGCAGGTTTCTGGGAGCTTGTTCCAGATATTTGGAGCATAATAACTGAACTTCTCCAGGTTTAGTTCTGACTCTGTTCATGTTTCGTTCTCTTGCTATCACTAACTGATGAGTTATGACTGTTGTCTTAAACCACCTAGTTGTAAACTAAATATATGTCTTACTATAGAGACTCCTGGGTTTTGCTGTGGCTCGGTGATGGTTTGCCTTTCAGTCAGAAGGGTTGACAAATAACCCTTTAACAAATCTTTAAAACACAAAACACTTTTGGTGTCTTCAAATGTAAGATGCTCAATTCTACTGGCGTATCAGTGAAGTGTTCTTTAATCACAACCAGAGATGGCAACAGTTCACACATCCTTTACTCAAGTAGAAGTACAGATACTCGTGTTTAAAAATGGTGAAAGTAGAAGTACTGACTAAACTTCTTTACTCAAGTGAAAGTAAAGAGGCTTTGAAGTGTACTTCAGTAAAAAGTACCCATAACTAGCAGCTGTTTTAAAGAGTACCTGACCTCCCTTTATATTAATAGAACAATAATGTCATTGTTAGCTAATGAATGTTTCCATGCTGAACAACGGCAACATGACAACGTTTTCATTGGTCCCTCTTCTTTAGAGAAGACCAGGAAATGATGGATACACGGATCGTGTTCAAATCAATAGGCACGCAATGACTCTAAATAATAATGATCACGCCACACATTCAAACTAAAGGAACCAGCCTGTTTGGGAAATGTGAGAAGTAGAAAGTACAGGTATTTGGGTTCAACATGTGAGAAGTAGAAAGTACAGGTATTTGGGTTCAACATGTGAGAAGTAGAAAGTACAGGTATTTGTGTTCAACATGTAAGAAGTAGAAAGTACAGGTATTTGTGTTCAACATGTAAGAAGTAGAAAGTACAGGTATTTGTGTTCAACATGTAAGAAGTAGAAAGTACAGGTATTTGTGTTCAACATGTAAGAAGTAGAAAGTACAGGTATTTGTGTTCAACATGTAAGAAGTAGAAAGTACAGGTAGTGGAGTAAAGTACTGATACCAGAAAAATGTACTTAAGTACAGTAACGAAGTATTTGTACTCCACTACTTCCCACCTCTGTTCAGAACAATAACGCTCTAACTGTTGTTCTGTCTTTCTTGTGTTGTCTTTCTCTGTGCTGCAGTCTCCAGTCAGTCCCAGCATGGAGGTAAATATAAGAGATATAGTGAATGGGGGAAATAGAGTGATTTATTGTTTTTAGCATAACGACATGGGATTTTATGTCAAGTAAAATTGTTGATTTAAAGATTGGCAAAAGTTAGTTTGACATTTTTCAATTTAAAAAGCTTTCTGAAAAAGTCATATTTTTATATATATTTGTATTTTTGTATTTGGGATTGTGGTATTTCGATCTCTCTGTCTGTACACACAAACTGAAAGATTGACAATAAAGTTGACTTTGACTTTGACTTGAATAGTAATAATAATAATCTTTATTTGTATAGCACCTTCCATACAATAAGTGCAGTCCAAAGTGCTTCACATAGACATTTCAAAGAACATTTATCTCACACAGAATACAGATACCAGTAAAATACTCAAAATAATTGCGTCGAGTAGACATATGAAATACATTTAGATTAAAGGTAAAACAATGAAACTGTGCATTAAAAGGAGGATAGTGCAAATTCAACATACAATCAGGGGACAGGTTCAAATGCATCGCAATGCATTGAGAAAGTGCAGCAGAGAGCAGGGGTTGGCTTCCTAAAAGGCTAGTATATTCCATTAATAATAATCCTGATCTGTGTCCAAACTCAGTAATAATGTCTTTGAGTTTTTAGCATAACGACATGGAGTTTTAGGTCAAGTAAAATTGTTGATTTAAAGATTGGCAAAAGTTAGTTTGACTTTTTTTCATTTAAAAAGCTTTCTGAACATTTGACTACTTGAATTGTATATTCCAATAATGCTTATATTTGTCTCTTTGCAGCAGAAAGCCCAGTTAGATTACTTCCCAGGGAGAGAGCGCCGTGCCAGCTCTCAGTCGTACGTCGGACGTCCCATCGAACTAGACAAGATCTTACTGTCCAAAGTTAAAGTTCCTCACACTTTCCTGATCCACTCGTACACCCGACCCACGATCTGCCAGCACTGCAAGAAGCTGCTGAAAGGACTCTTCAGACAAGGCCTGCAGTGTAAAGGTAAACGTCCTGTTTTCATCCCTTCTGTCAAATATAACACGATCATTAAGCATCTTTTGTCAAGTACAATGTCCCTAAACAGTCAGATTATCAAAGTGAAGTTGAAAGGTCCATCGATAGTTTTTCCTGAGAGTGGCACGTGCGGTAATTCAATTGTTAAAGGTCGCCTATTATGCAAAATCCTCTTCTTCATGTCTCTTCTACATCAACATGTGTCCCCTCTTCTTCATGTCTCTTCTACATCAACATGTGTCCCCTCTTCTTCATGTCTCTTCTACATCAACATGTGTCCCCTCTTCTTCATGTCTCTTCTACATCAACATGTGTCCCCTCTTCTCCATGTCTCTTCTTCATCAACATGTGTCCCCTCTTCTTCATGTCTCTTCTACATCAACATGTGTCCCCTCTTCTTCATGTCTCCTCTACATCAACATGTGTCCCCTCTTCTTCATGTCTCTTCTACATCAACATGTGTCCCCTCTTCTTCATGTCTCTTCTACATCAACATGTGTCCCCTCTTCTTCATGTCTCTTCTTCATCAACATGTGTCCCCTCTTCTATGTCTCTTCTCTCATCAACATGTGTCCCCTCTTCTTCATGTCTCTTCTACATCAACATGTGTCCCCTCTTCTTCATGTCTCTTCTTCATCAACATGTGTCCCTCTTCTTCATGTCTCTTCTACATCAACATGTGTCCCCTCTTCTCCATGTCTCTTCTTCATCAACATGTGTCCCCTCTTCTTCATGTCTCTTCTTCATCAACATGTGTCCCCTCTTCTTCATGTCTCTTCTACATCAACATGTGTCCCTCTTCTTCATGTCTCTTCTACATCAACATGTGTCCCCTCTTCTTCATGTCTCTTCTACATCAACATGTGTCCCCTCTTCTTCATGTCTCTTCTACATCAACATGTGTCCCCCCTTCTTCATGTCTCTCTTCATCAACATGGGTCCCCTCTTCTTCATGTCTCTTCTACATCAACATGTGTCCCCTCTTCTTCATGTCTCTTCTACATCAACATGTGTCCCCTCTTCTTCATGTCTCTTCTTCATCAACATGTGTCCCCTCTTCTTCATGTCTCTTCTACATCAACATGTGTCCCCTCTTCTTCATGTCTCTTCTTCATCAACATGTGTCCCCTCTTCTTCATGTCTCTTCTACATCAACACGTGTCCCCTCTTCTTCATGTCTCTTCTACATCAACACGTGTCCCCTCTTCTTCATGTCTCTTCTTCATCAACACGTGTCCCCTCTTCTTCATGTCTCTTCTACATCAACACGTGTCCCCTCTTCTTCATGTCTCTTCTACATCAACACGTGTCCCCTCTTCTTCATGTCTCTTCTACATCAACATGTGTCCCCTCTTCTTCATGTCTCTTCTACATCAACATGTGTCCCCCCTTCTTCATGTCTCTTCTTCATCAACATGTGTCCCCTCTTCTTCATGTCTCTTCTACATCAACATGTGTCCCCTCTTCTTCATGTCTCTTCTACATCAACATGTGTCCCCTCTTCTTCATGTCTCTTCTTCATCAACATGTGTCCCCTCTTCTTCATGTCTCTTCTACATCAACATGTGTCCCCTCTTCTTCATGTCTCTTCTTCATCAACATGTGTCCCCTCTTCTTCATGTCTCTTCTACATCAACACGTGTCCCCTCTTCTTCATGTCTCTTCTACATCAGCACGTGTCCCCTCTTCTTCATGTCTCTTCGACATCAACATGTGTCCCCTCTTCTTCATGTCTCTTCTACATCAACATGTGTCCCCTCTTCTTCATGTCTCTTCTACATCAACATGTGTCCCCTCTTCTTCATGTCTCTTCTTCATCAACATGTGTCCCCTCTTCTTCATGTCTCTTCTACATCAACATGTGTCCCCTCTTCTTCATGTCTCTTCTACATCAACATGTGTCCCCTCTTCTTCATGTCTCTTCTACATCAACATGTGTCCCCTCTTCTTCATGTCTCTTCTACATCAACATGTGTCCCCCTCTTCTTCATGTCTCTTCTACATCAACATGTGTCCCCTCTTCTTCATGTCTCTTCTACATCAACATGTGTCCCCCCTTCTTCATGTCTCTTCTTCATCAACATGTGTCCCCTCTTCTTCATGTCTCTTCTACATCAACATGTGTCCCCTCTTCTTCATGTCTCTTCTACATCAACATGTGTCCCCTCTTCTTCATGTCTCTTCTTCATCAACATGTGTCCCCTCTTCTTCATGTCTCTTCTACATCAACATGTGTCCCCTCTTCTTCATGTCTCTTCTTCATCAACATGTGTCCCCTCTTCTTCATGTCTCTTCTACATCAACACGTGTCCCCTCTTCTTCATGTCTCTTCTACATCAACACGTGTCCCCTCTTCTTCATGTCTCTTCTTCATCAACACGTGTCCCCTCTTCTTCATGTCTCTTCTACATCAACACGTGTCCCCTCTTCTTCATGTCTCTTCTACATCAACACGTGTCCCCTCTTCTTCATGTCTCTTCTACATCAACATGTGTCCCCTCTTCTTCATGTCTCTTCTACATCAACATGTGTCCCCCCTTCTTCATGTCTCTTCTTCATCAACATGTGTCCCCTCTTCTTCATGTCTCTTCTACATCAACATGTGTCCCCTCTTCTTCATGTCTCTTCTACAATCAACATGTGTCCCCTCTTCTTCATGTCTCTTCTTCATCAACATGTGTCCCCTCTTCTTCATGTCTCTTCTACATCAACATGTGTCCCCTCTTCTTCATGTCTCTTCTTCATCAACATGTGTCCCCTCTTCTTCATGTCTCTTCTACATCAACACGTGTCCCCTCTTCTTCATGTCTCTTCTACATCAGCACGTGTCCCCCTCTTCTTCATGTCTCTTCGACATCAACATGTGTCCCCTCTTCTTCATGTCTCTTCTACATCAACATGTGTCCCCTCTTCTTCATGTCTCTTCTACATCAACATGTGTCCCCTCTTCTTCATGTCTCTTCTTCATCAACATGTGTCCCCTCTTCTTCATGTCTCTTCTTACATCAACATGTGTCCCCTCTTCTTCATGTCTCTTCTACATCAACATGTGTCCCCTCTTCTTCATGTCTCTTCTACATCAACATGTGTCCCCTCTTCTTCATGTCTCTTCTACATCAACATGTGTCCCCTCTTCTTCATGTCTCTTCTACATCAACATGTGTCCCCTCTTCTTCAGTCTCTTCTACTACAACATGTGTCCCTCTTCTATGGTCTCTACATCAACATGTGTCCCCTCTTCTTCATGTCTCTTCTACATCAACATGTGTCCCCTCTTCTTCATGTCTCTTCTACATCAACATGTGTCCCCTCTTTCTTCATGTCTCTTCTACATCAACATGTGTCCCCTCTTCTTCATGTCTCTTCTACATCAACATGTGTCCCCTCTTCTTCATGTCTCTTCTACATCAACATGTGTCCCTCTTCTTCATGTCTCTTCTACATCAACATGTGTCCCCTCGTCTTCATGTCTCTTCTACATCAACATGTGTCCCCCTCTTCTTCATGTCTCTTCTACATCAACATGTGTCCCCTCTTCTTCATGTCTCTTCTACATCAACATGTGTCCCCTCTTCTTCATGTCTCTTCTACATCAACATGTGTCCCCTCTTCTTCATGTCTCTTCTTCATCAACATGTGTCCCCTCTTCTTCATGTCTCTTCTACATCAACATGTGTCCCCTCTTCTTCATGTCTCTTCTACATCAACATGTGTCCCCTCTTCTTCATGTGTCTTCTTCATCAACATGTGTCCCCTCTTCTTCATGTCTCTTCTACATCAACATGTGTCCCCTCTTCTTCATGTCTCTTCTACATCAACATGTGTCCCCTCTTCTTCATGTCTCTTCTACATCAACATGTGTCCCCTCTTCTTCATGTCTCTTCTTCAATCAACATGTGTCCCCTCTTCTTCATGTCTCTTCTTCATCAACATGTGTCCCCTCTTCTTCATGTCTCTTCTACATCAACATGTGTCCCCTCTTCTTCATGTCTCTTCTACATCAACATGTGTCCCCTCTTCTTCATGTCTCTTCTTCATCAACATGTGTCCCCTCTTCTTCATGTCTCTTCTACATCAACATGTGTCCCCTCTTCTTCATGTCTCTTCTTCATCACCATGTGTCCCCTCTGTGGAAAGAGACTCTGAAAGTTTCAGGAACAAAGATTCTCTCTCTTTTTGATCCATTTCTATAAAAACCTGTCTAAATGAGCTGATCAGATTTTGGCCACTTGATGATGTCATAACGATGTTTTGTCTTGTGTAACCATTAGCCAATCAGCAACCAAGGTAACCCCCCCCCCCACCTTATCACCTGAATCTCCTCTAGAGCACCATTGAGTTCTTTGTAACCAAATGTCTCTCAGAGGGGCGTGGGGAGGGGCTCCTTATTTTCATCTAAAGTAACAGACAGAGAATCAGCACTTTGGAAACAGGGCTGAAACAGAGGGGATTATGGGTAATGCTGCAATGATCTGTTTGGTGTTTCAGCCAATCAGAGACAGGTTCTGTATATATCTGAGACCTATGATATATTGATGAAGAAGGGGATAATAGGGGACCTTTAAGGTTTCATGCTTTAGAGACCAGCAATGGGATCAGGGAGTTCATGGAAATCTGATATGTAAATATAAAGAAATGTTTAAGTTGGTGTGTTCAACAAGTTACTTTAATGACATACATGTAGTTGGTGGTTTTTCAAGCCCAAAACCCTTAGAAAATATGTTTTTAGACAATCCTGACGCTCTAGATTTACTAACAATGCGGGAAGTAGTCAAGAATAAAGAAAGAAAAACAGAGATACAGGTCAGGCTAGAAAGAGACTGGCACTTAAAAACTAAAACGTCATGCTTTTATAACCTTATGAGGGAGTCTCATCCACCCAAATGTGTAGGCCTTAAGAGATGCTGGGAGAAGGACATAGGGGAAGAGATAACTGGTGAAACATGGAGGGAAACTATTGGGTCATGGTTTAAAGTTTCAAGGGAAATACAGACACGTCTGATTAATTATAAAGTCATCAATAGAACATATTGGACTCCAAGTAAAATGGCAAGGCTAGGACTCAGAGGCTCTGACTTGTGTTGGAGATGTGATACTACATGTGGCACTCTGCTGCACATGTTGTATTCATGCCCCATGATAGATATCTTATGGTCGAAGATTGTTACCTTCATTAATACAGTAATGGCCTGCTCTCTGGCACAGGGACCAATGCTTTGCATACTAGGTATGGTACCAAAGGAAAGTGGTCTGAATGCCCGTCAGATCTCATGGTGCAGAATAGCACTTATTACTGGATGTAGGATAGTGTTGCGACATTGGAAAACTAGAGAGGATATATCCTTTAAGGAATGGATGGACGAAATAGCCCAAATCTCCTCCTATGAAAGATTATGCTATAAGATGATAAATAGAACAGATATCTACATGAAAATATGGAGCCCTTTTGTGGCGGTGACTTGAAGTGCTGGAGAGCTCCACCCTTTCAAATCATTGAAAACCCAAAATAAAGTTATATGTTGTTGATAGCCTTTACATGTGGCGCTTCTGAGTGGTTGTGTATATCCGTGCGTGTGTGAGCGCATCAGCGTGCGCTTATGTTTGGGGCGATGGGGGGGGGGGGGGCCAAAAACAATATTTGCACCGGGGCCAATCACAACCTTGTTACGCCACTGGTGTATGCCATGGATGATGCTCTACCTCTGTAATGTTCCCTATGTCCGTTTTGTCCGTCTTGTCAGTTATTGTCGTGTCTCTGGTGTAGTTTGCCGTGGTACTTTGATATCTTGATATGTGATACATTTAGCAGGCTGTGTTGTTATGTATGTATGTATGTATGTATGTATGTATGTATGTATGTATGTATGTATGTATGTATGTATGTATGTATGTATGTATGTTTTTCTTTTTCTGGAAAAAAAAGAATAAAGAAAGGGCTGTTCATGAAAAACTGTTTTAATGTAGTGTAGTACTTAAACCTTTTAGTCCAGCAAGAATTCATCTGTTTGTTGATTTTGTAAAGCACAGCAGTCGATTCAATGGAACAATGTCAAACCAAATCAAGCTATATTTATGTGAATAAAGGCAAAAAGCGTCAGATTTGAAACCATAACACCATGACTAAAGAGTAAAATAACCACAATCATTGTTAGGTTAACTGCTTGTGGTCTTCATGAGGGTCGTTGAAAACCCAAACCAAAACACAAGCCACTTGTACCTTCTTCGTGAACCTTGGAAGTAGTTAAAGTTGTGCCAGCGACTGCTCCTCTGTTTCTACAGGAGAACGTTAGTATTTTAGAAGTTAAAAGGATAAAGCTTTTTAATTCAACATTGTATTTTGTCAAGTGTTTGATTTTGAACCTGTTCTGATCTAATGGCTGCTCCCATTGCTTGTTTCTCCCATAGATTGTAAATTCAACTGTCATAAACGATGTTCTCCAAAAGTGCCGAACAACTGCCTGGGAGAGGTTTCAAGAAATGGAGGCAAGTTTCATATTTATGATCCTATCCAAGCTCCATTCACAAACACACCGCAAACTTTGATCATAAACCTAATTATAACCTTGATACTGAAACCGAGTCTTAATGGGCTCACTGGCTCTTCTTTGTTATATTTTATTCTTGCAAGAAGTTCAGTCAATCATACTGTTATGATTATGATATCACTCGTCACCAGCTTGAGCTTCAATATCAGGATCCATGTATTTATTATCCTCTCAAGAATGGAAGTAGTCATCGCATACAGAGTAGCTTATACATCAAAATTCTTACTTTTTCTCAAAATTCTGACTTTCTCAAAATCTCAAAATTCGGACTTTCTCAAAATCTCAAAATTCGGACTTTCTCTCAAAATTCTGACTTAAATCTCAAAATTCGGACTTTCTCAAAATTTCGACTTTCTCTCAAAATTCTGACTTTCTCAAAATCTAAAAAATTCTGACTTTCTCAAAATCTCAAAATTCTGACTTTTTCTCAAAATTCTGACTTAAATCTCAAAATTCTGACTTTCTCAAAATTTCGACTCTCTCAAAATTCTGACTCTCAAAATCTAAAAAATTCTGACTTTCTCAAAATCCTGACTTTCTCAAAATCTCAAAATTCTGACTTTCTCTCAAAATTCTGACTTAAATCTCAAAATTCTGACTTTCTCAAAATTTCGACTTTCTCTCAAAATTCTGACTTTCTCAAATGTTGACTTTCTCTCAAAATTTTGACTTTTCCTCAAAATTCTGACTTTTCCTCAAAATTCTGACTTTTCCTCAAAATTCTGACTTTTTCTCAAAATTCTGACTTTCTCTCAAAATTCTGACTTAAATCTCAAAATTCTGACTTTCTCAAAATGTCGACTTTCTCTCAAAATTCTGACTGTTTCTCAAAATTCTGACTTTTTCTCAAAATCAAAAAATTCTGACTTTCTCTCAAAATTCTGACTTTCTCTCAAAATTCTGACTTTTTCTCAAAATCTGGAAGTACATGTAGTCATCACATACAGAGCATCAACTAGTTCCTGAACAGTGTCCTTCACATGCTGATATCCAAGAGAGGGAGTTACACAGTCACAAGATGGAGGAATAGAAAGCAGTATTCAATGTTTACTTCAGATTAGCTCCACGTCAGAAATGAGCATGCTTGTCATATGTCTATCTCCATAGAGGCTGAATCATCATGTTAATCACATAGCTATCATATGCCTCAAACAGTCCTGATGCTCTTCTAGGTAATCATACATCTTCAGTTGGGATACCTTTGTTATCATGTTACTCTCATATTGGAAGAGGACATTCAGGATTTTCCCAACACTGTGTTTTGGTTTCGTAGATCTCTTGAGCCCGGGGGCGGAGTCAGACATCGTGATGGTGGAGGGAGGCCTCGATGATCACGATGACGAAAGAGGAGGCGGTTTGATGGACGATATTGATGATGCAATGACATCAGAGGGGGGGGGGGCTTCTGGAGGCGGGGCCTAACGACCTCTGTGACCCCCACGACCCCGACCTCGACGAATCAAACAGAGCCATCAGGTACACACATCCTTCACTCAAGTAGAAGTACAGATACTCATGTTTAAACATACTCTGGTAACAGTAGAAGTACTGACTAAACTTCTTTACTCAAGTAAAAGTAAAGAGGCTTTGAAATGTACTTCAGTAAAAAGTACCCATAACTAGCAGCTGTTTTAAAGAGTACCTGACCTCCCTTTATATTAATAGAACAATAATGTCATTGTTAGCTAATGAATGTTTCCATGCTGAACAACGGCAACATGACAACGTTTTCATTGGTCCCTCTTCTTTAGAGAAGACCAGGAAATGATGGATACACGGATCGTGTTCAAATCAATAGGCACGCAATGACTCTAAATAATAATGATCACGCCACCAAACACACATTCAAACTAAAGGAACCAGCCTGTTTGGAAAATGTGAGAAGTAGAAAGTACAGGTATTTGTGTTCAACATGTAAGAAGTAGAAAGTACAGGTATTTGGGTTCAACATGTAAGAAGTAGAAAGTACAGGTATTTGTGTTCAACATGTAAGAAGTAGAAAGTACAGGTATTTGGGTTCAACATGTAAGAAGTAGAAAGTACAGGTATTTGGGTTCAACATGTAAGAAGTAGAAATTACAGGTATTTGGGTTCAACATGTAAGAAGTAGAAAGTACAGGTATTTGTGTTCAACATGTAAGAAGTAGAAAGTACAGGTATTTGGGTTCAACATGTAAGAAGTAGAAAGTACAGGTATTTGGGTTCAACATGTAAGAAGTAGAAAGTACAGGTATTTGAGTTCAACATGTAAGAAGTAGAAAGTACAGGTATTTGTGTTCAACATGTAAGAAGTAGAAAGTACAGGTATTTGGGTTCAAAGTGTAAGAAGTAGAAAGTAAAAAGTCGTCAGAAAGTAGTGGGGTAAAGTACTGATACCAGAAAAATGTACTTAAGTACAGTAACGAAGTATTTGTTCTCCACTACTTCCCACCTACAGAAACACACAAAACAACACATTCAGGAAGAAATATATCCCTTGATTTTTATCTTTTTCTTTTCTTTGTTGTGCAGCCCGTCCACCAGTAACAACATCCCTCTGATGAGAGTGGTTCAGTCCGTCAAACACACAAAGAGGAAGACGAGCAATGTGATGAAGGAGGGATGGATGGTCCATTACACCAGCAAGGACACTCTGGTATTGACCTGTCTGTAGTTTTATTCGTTTGTTTGTCTGTCAGTGTTTCCTACCTTTTAATAATGAGGTTTTATGAATTTAAGAGAAAGCTTCTGAATCAGGAAGAATAATAAGTGTCGCACTGGAAAAATGCTGCTCCAAAAACAACTTAAAGTGGACCTATCATGCTATATTTGAATAATATAGTGTAGGACCATACCTATATAAGGCATATTTATACTTTTATTTTTTCAAAATACCAAACAGATCATGCATTTTAGCCATGCCTCATTTTGCTCAATTTGACATTTTTTAGATCTGTTTTAGCAAGGGCAGATTCAGTGAGAACAGCACCATCTACAGGCCTGGCATATGTACTACAGCGTCTCCAGCGCTTTCGAACGGCAATGGCCGTGGCTGTCTCCTCCTGATTGGTGGAGTTGGCCCAATAGCCGTAGCGCCACCGTCCTGACGTCAGGACAGTGTTCAAGTCTGGATCAGTTTTTATCAGATCCGTTGCAGCCCCTTTTTTAGAGATTTGGGTATGGAGGAAAATAGAGAGGGTTGTGTTTTCTGACACTTGGTGAGTTCCCTGGAACACCGGGGACACATATTCATGTAGAAAAGACGTACACAAGTGCATTTTGCATGATAGGTCCCCTTTAAACAATAATGAAAACAAGGTGTTTTCACTTGAAATAAGTCAAAAAATCTGCCAATAGAACAAGTGAACATTAGCTTGATGAGATTCCTTGAACTAAGACAGGATATTTAGATAAATCACATCTTGTAATTATCAGGAGAACTCATTTTGAACTATATTTGACCAGAATCAGGAAATGTTGTGTTACAGAATAATCCGCAAACGCTCAAAGGTTTTCTGTGTTCTGATGTTAGATGGTGATTTTCTAATAAATATGTAAATAAATATGTGTTTCATCTGAGATACAACTCAAAATAAGATCATTTGACTTAACAAGATGATGCATTGTCTAAACACAAGAGCCTATATCTCACTGCAGTGTTACTTCTGAAGTTATTATGTCTGATATCAGGAGGAGAGACATGTTCTGACTAGATGTTAGACTAAGATACTGGGAAAGATTTTGAGTTTTTGTCGTGTGCTTTAACAACAATAACCTGATCGCTGGGAAACTAGATGACTTGTTTCTCAAAAATAAAGCAAATTAAGGATTAAAGAAACCTAGATATTTGTTTATATTTGTCTGCCCCTTAGCAAAGGGTTGTTGTTTGTTAGGGGATAAGATCTTGAGCTTTTTTAAATGCAAAAACAATATGTTGCCTAAGGCTTTATGCAAAGAATACATGATATGAATTAACTGGGAAAATGTTTCACGTGTAAAGTATAAACACACAAATTGCAAACACTAACACTAACACTTGCACTGGGAAAGATGCTGCTCCCACAACAAGTAAATATATACTAAAAACAAGGTGGTTTCGCTTTTAATAAGTGAACAAATCTGCCAATAGAACAAGTACACAATGGCTTGGTGAGATTTCTTGAAGGAAAGATGGATAATTAGATAAATGAGATCTTGTATTTATCTGGGAGAACTTATTTTGAACTATATTTGACCAGAATCAGGGAATTTGTAACAAACAAAGCCAGAAATGCTCAGACGTTTTCTTTTAGAGATGTTCTTATAAAATAAGAGGTTTTTAAGAGACTTTGACTTAAAAAGATGCTTAAAGGGGACCTATCATGCAAAATGCACTTGTGTACGTCTTTTCTACATGAATATGTGTCCCCGGTGTTCCAGGGAACTCACCAAGTGTCAGAAAACACAACCCTCTCTATTTTCCTCCATACCCAAATCTCTAAAAAAGGGGCTGCAACGGATCTGATAAAAACTGATCCAGATTTGAACACTGTCCTGACGTCAGGACGGTGGCGCTACGTCTATTGGGCCAACTCCACCAATCAGGAGGAGACAGCCACGGCCATTGCCGTTCAAAAGCGCTGGAGACGCTGTAGTACATATGCCAGGCCTGTAGGTGGTGCTGTTCTCACAGAATCTGCCCTTGCAAAAACAGGGATAACATTTTTCAAATTGAGCGAAATGAGGCATGGCTAAAATGCATGATCTGTTTGGTATTTTGAAAAAAAAAAGTATAAATATGCCTTATATAGGTATGGTCCTACACTATATTATTCAAATATAGCATGATAGGTCCACTTTAAGATGCCTTGTCTAAAAACAAGACTTAAGTTATTAGGTCTTATATCAAGTGTAACGACATGTTCTGACTAGAAATGAGACAATTATACTTGGCAAGATTTTTACATTTTGGCCGTGTAACCCTTTCTCCTTTTTGACTTTGTTCTTTTCATCTCTCTCGTACCATCTTTGTTTCTTATCGTCTTTGTTTCCTCTTCATCTATGATTTCAGAGGAAAAGACATTACTGGCGTCTCGACAGCAAATGCATCACGCTGTTCCAGAACGACACAGGAAGTAAATACTACAAGGTAAGAGGACCTCTTATCTCAGATTGATTTTTAAACAAGAGATAAAACTCACCACCACAAATTCTCAGGGTCTTTTCGGGGTACGTCATTGTACTCTTTAAGCTTTGCATTAGATTAGATTCCTTTTATTGTCACTACTCAGAGTACAGCGGTCCAAGTGATGTTAATCAACGTGATAATCTCCATTTATTATTATTTGAGTTTAAATTGCCAAAGCAGACATCTGATATATATATGAAATCTCTTTGTTTTATTCTCTGTCAAAGCGTCTTTGAGTTTTTAGAAAAGCGCTATATAAGTGTCATGTATTATTATTATTGTAATTATTATTATTATTATTATTATTATTATTATTATTATTATTATTATTCCCGATGGTGCAATCACACATAACTATGGTCATGTAGAATAAGGCATTAATAAGTGTTTTATAATGACTAATAAAGAGCCAATATACTGCTAATATGCATGTTAATTAACAACTAGTTGATGGTGAATTTGTGTACCTTAATATGAAGTTGTACCGCTTACATGATGAACATTGATGTCTATGTGCCTTATTCTGTATTTGACATAATTGTTTCAATCAAAAAAAAATATATATAACTCAATATATTGAGATAGCTAAGTCAATATATTGAGATAGCTAAGTCAATATATTGAGATAGTAAGTCAATATATTGAGATAGCTAAGTCAATATATTGAGATAGTAAGTCAATATATTGAGATAGTAAGTCAATATATTGAGATAGCTAAGTCAATATATTGAGATAGCTAAGTCAATATATTGAGATAGCTAAGTCAATATATTGAGATAGTAAGTCAATATATTGAGATAGTAAGTCAATATATTGAGATAGTAAGTCAATATATTGAGATAGCTAAGTCAATATATTGAGATAGTAAGTCAATATATTGAGATAGCTAAGTCAATATATTGAGATAGCTAAGTCAATATATTGAGATAGCTAAGTCAATATATTATATGTGGCGCAAACAGGCTTCCATACATAACAGACAGTATAAGTGTCATTTTGACAATACAAGCTAAAACTTTTAATATATAATATATAAAGTGACTATAAATTGGACCTATGATACATTGAACAGTACGCTTACAAAACAATACAACATTACCATAAAAATACAAGAACAATACGGTCAAGGCAGTACAAAAGTGTAAAAAAGTAAGTTATTGCACATGTATTTTCAGTGCAGTTGATAATTACAAAAATAAATATGTGTTCTATAAAAACGGTATGAGGTAGAATATGAGGTGCAGTTGGATGTAAACATATACTTAGTTGAGCATCAGTTCAGTTCCATTAGTGCTGTGTTCAGCTCACGTATACATAAACATCGTAGTGATATACAAATACTTTCTGCCCCAGTAACAAGTGTGTAAACGTTGTATAATTCTCAATGTTTTCTCTACATGCTCTTTTTCGCTCTCCTCTCTGCAGGAGATCCCTCTCTCTGAGATCTTAACTCTGGAGCCGGCTCAGGCCTTCTCTCTCCTCCCTGACGGATCCAATATGCACTGCTTTGAGATCACCACGGCATCTCTGGTTTACTACGTCGGAGAAAACCTGCAGAGAGTCGAATCCTCTGTGGGCGGCAGCAGCATTAAGGTATAGTCCATAGCTACACTTTCTACTGCTGACATCTGTCTATGTCCAGTGAGAGATTAATTACTCAGATAACTTACTTATCTACAAATACCACCGTTCATTAGTTCTCAATTACACATACAAGTCAGTAAAGTACGTTTTCTTTGTTTACTGTGAATTGGTATTTCAACATGTATATTTTCATTTTTTTTTAATGCTGTGTATATCTATTTTAAGATGTATAGATTTTAGAATTGTTTATTTTTCTGCAATGCAAACATTTCCCAAATTTTGATTAATTAAGTACATCTCATCTTATCTTATCTCAAATGTTGTACTCAAATGATCAAAAGTACTTATTCTGAAAATGGAATATTCATATATTTTACATTATGACATTATTAATACTCATCAATACAAGTTGTAGTGATGGAAGCTCATTTTTAACAACCTTATTAAGTTCACTTTTGTATCTTAAATCTTAATTTGAAGTCACTACCGTTGTCTAATATGTACAGTGGACTAATAGTAGACTAAAAGCATTACACAGTTGCATTCAAATACTTTAATAAATGTACTTAGTTACTTTCAACCACTCTCTGTCCACAAACAAACACTAATTACTGGACTTTTAATTTATATCTGTTGATCTTTACTGACCTGAGTCCCTTTCACTGCCCTAAAAGCTGCATTTAGAACTGGTTAATGTGGCTTTGTATTTAAATTAAAGGTCCCCTATTATACAAAATCCACTTCTTCATGTCTCTTCTACATCAACATGTGTCCCCTCTTCTTCATGTCTCTTCTACATCAACATGTGTCCCCTCTTCTTCATGTCTCTTCTACATCAACATGTGTCCCCTCTTCTTCATGTCTCTTCTACATCAACATGTGTCCCCTCTTCTTCATGTCTCTTCTTCATCAACATGTGTCCCCTCTTCTTCATGTCTCTTCCACATCAACATGTGTCCCCTCTTCATGTCTCTTCTTCATCAACATGTGTCCCCTCTTCTTCATGTCTCTTCTACATCAACATGTGTCCCCTCTTCTTCATGTCTCTTCTACATCAACATGTGTCCCCTCTTCCTCATGTCTCTTCTACATCAACATGTGTCCCCTCTTCTTCATGTCTCTTCTACATCAACATGTGTCCCCTCTTCCTCATGTCTCTTCTACATCAACATGTGTCCCCTCTTCTTCATGTCTCTTCTTCATCAACATGTGTCCCCTCTTCTTCATGTCTCTTCTTCATCAACATGTGTCCCCTCTTCTTCATGTCTCTTCTTCATCAACATGTGTCCCCTCTTCTTCATGTCTCTTCTTCATCAACATGTGTCCCCTCTTCTTCATGTCTCTTCTACATCAACATGTGTCCCCTCTTCTTCATGTCTCTTCTTCATCAACATGTGTCCCCTCTTCTTCATGTCTCTTCTACATCAACATGTGTCCCCTCTTCTTCATGTCTCTTCTTCATCAACATGTGTCCCCTCTTCTTCATGTCTCTTCGACATCAACATGTGTCCCCTCTTCTTCATGTCTCTTCTACATCAACATGTGTCCCCTCTTCTTCATGTCTCTTCTTCATCAACATGTGTCCCCTCTTCTTCATGTCTCTTCTACATCAACATGTGTCCCCTCTTCTTCATATCTCTTCTACATCAACATGTGTCCCCTCTTCTTCATGTCTCTTCTACATCAACATGTGTCCCCTCTTCTTCATGTCTCTTCTTCATCAACATGTGTCCCCTCTTCTTCATGTCTCTTCTTCATCAACATGTGTCCCCTCTTCTTCATATCTCTTCTACATCAACATGTGTCCCCTCTTCTTCATGTCTCTTCTACATCAACATGTGTCCCCTCTTCTTCATGTCTCTTCTACATCAACATGTGTCCCCTCTTCTTCATGTCTCTTCTACATCAACATGTGTCCCCTCTTCTTCATATCTCTTCTACATCAACATGTGTCCCCTCTTCTTCATGTCTCTTCTACATCAACATGTGTCCCCTCTTCTTCATGTCTCTTCTACATCAACATGTGTCCCCTCTTCTTCATGTCTCTTCTACATCAACATGTGTCCCCTCTTCTTCATGTCTCTTCTACATCAACATGTGTCCCCTCTTCTTCATGTCTCTTCTTCATCAACATGTGTCCCCTCTTCTTCATGTCTCTTCTACATCAACATGTGTCCCCTCTTCTTCATGTCTCTTCTTCATCAACATGTGTCCCCTCTTCTTCATGTCTCTTCTTCATCAACATGTGTCCCCTCTTCTTCATGTCTCTTCTCCATCAACATGTGTCCCCTCTTCTTCATGTCTCTTCTTCATCAACATGTGTCCCCTCTTCTTCATGTCTCTTCTTCATCAACATGTGTCCCCTCTTCTTCATGTCTCTTCTTCATCAACATGTGTCCCCTCTTCTTCATGTCTCTTCTTCATCAACATGTGTCCCCTCTTCTTCATGTCTCTTCTACATCAACATGTGTCCCCTCTTCTTCATGTCTCTTCTACATCAACATGTGTCCCCTCTTCTTCATGTCTCTTCTACATCAACATGTGTCCCCTCTTCTTCATGTCTCTTCTTCATCAACATGTGTCCCCTCTTCTTCATGTCTCTTCTACATCAACATGTGTCCCCTCTTCTTCATGTCTCTTCTACATCAACATGTGTCCCCTCTTCTTCATGTCTCTTCTACATCAACATGTGTCCCCTCTTCTTCATGTCTCTTCTTCATCAACATGTGTCCCCTCTTCTTCATGTCTCTTCTCCATCAACATGTGTCCCCTCTTCTTCATGTCTCTTCTTCATCACCATGTGTCCCCTCTGTGGAAAGAGACTCTGAAAGTTTCAGGAACAAAGATTCTCTCTCTTTTTGATCCATTTCTATAAAAACCTGTCTGAAAATGAGCTGATCAGATTTTGGCCACTTTATGATGTCATAACGATGTTTTGTCTTGTGTAACCATTAGCCAATCAGCAACCAAGGTAACCCCCCCCCCCCCCCTTATCACCTGAATCTCCTCCTAGAGCACCATTGAGTTCTTTGTAACCAAATCTCTCTCAGAGGGGCGTGGGGAGGGGCTCCTTATTTTCATCTGAAGTAACAGACAGAGAATCAGCACTTTGGAAACAGGGCTGAAACAGAGGGGATTATGGGTAATGCTGCAATGATCTGTTTGGTGTTTCAGCCAATCAGAGACAGGTTCTGTATATATCTGAGACCTGTGATATATTGATGAAAAACAGTATAATAGGGGACCTTTAAGTCACTACTGTTGTTGAATAAGTACAGTGGACTAGTAGACTACAAGCACTACACAGTTGCATTCAAATACTTTAATAAATAGTTACTTTCAACCACTGTCTGTCCACAAAGAAAGACTAATTACTGGACTTTTTCCCCGGCTGGTCCCAGGTCAGCGGGCTGGGGCAGGATGTGGCTCGGATGTGGGAGATGGCCATCCAGCATGCTTTGATGCCTGCTGTTTCTACGGGAATTTCCCACAACTCTCACCGCAGCGGACACAGTAAGACACCTTTCAATCGTAATTTTGAAGTCACTACTGTTGTCAAATAAGTACAGTGGACTAATTTGTCCTTTACCATTTAACCGACTCAAATTCAACGTTGGGTGAACTTGCTTTGTTGACCTCGCCACCTTCAACAAACGTACAAAAACTCACCTCTTCTGGCTTTTAATGTGTGATTGTTGTTTTATTGCTCGATTTTAATGTGACTTTTACTATATTTATTTAATGTCCTTTGTAAAGCGACTTTGAGCACCTGTAAAAGCGCTTACAAAATACATTTATTATTATTATTATTATTATTATTATTGATGCCTTTATTTATTTGGTGGGGTCCAAAAACTGAGTATAGGTCAGGCTAAGCCATGAACTAGTTTTAGTCCTATGTGTCGCAAATTAATTGTCGCAATTGAATATTTCTCACTGCAGTCATACGAAGAATAAACTGCTGAGGACACCCAGCTCTTTATATCTGTTGATCTTTACTGACCTGAGACCCTTTCACTGCCCTCAAAACTGCATCTGCATTTATTAAATGTTAATGGCTGTATATTTATTATACTATAAAAAAGGAACTTTTGCATAGATTTAGAATCAACACGATTAATGCAACAGAGGACATCAATCTTGCTACTATATTTATATATAAACTACTATATTTTAAACGTTATTGAAGATCCTGAAGTTTAAAATGGAATCAAGTTTTGTTCTTATACACAGGGTTAAAGCCCAAAATGGGTGGAGGTAAAATAATATGTCAAGTTCAGTGTTTGGGAAATGAGAATTAGGGTTAGGGTGCAGCCAACAAAATAATGCATCTTTGGTTTTAATATTTCATTTATTCTCTGAGGAACCTCGTAAAGCTTCAATTGAGAGCTTTAATCCAACCTTTAATGTACGTATAACAATAAGAAATGGGAATACTGCATGTGAAGATGTTAAATCCACGGTTCTGTCTTCTTTAAAATGAGCACAGGACATGCATTTCTTTCTTTAACGCCAGCCGTCAGCAGAGCAGACAATCTCTTTGAAATGAAATTGGTCGAATGTAAATGTAAATGTCATTCTGCCGTTATTATCCTGCCTTTTGAAAGGAGACATTTTCAGCTCAGGTATTAATGTTCACTGAGTTCTCCTCAGGGCCGTTGACACCCACACAAAATCCATCAGAGATATTTCAGAGCTTCTCTGACGTCAAGCTACTCATGACTAACACTTCAGTTTGGACTCGATGACTCCTCTGACTCTGTGCTCACCTGAGAGAACAGAGAAATAATACTGTGTCTAAATAAAACCTCCAGAAGGCCAAATGCTAAAGATGTTTAAAACGTATAATGCTTTGACAGATTAAACCTTAACAGAAGCAACTGGAAACAAAGGTTTACTGCAGTGAGAGTTGCCACATAGGTCGTTGTACTTTGTATGATGACAATAAATATATATTCTATTCAAAAGTATCTCCGTAAAAGTTTAGTTGTGCTATCTTTTCAAAGTTGCACGTCCTCTGGAGTCGAACTCTCATTGATTACCTGTGGTTTTAATATATATATTTATTTATAACAATGATTCACTCTTTCTTTGTTTGTGTGTCATCAACAGAGGAAATCTCCATCAGTATTTCTGTCTCTAACTGCCAGATCCAGGAGAATGTGGTAAGAACAACACACACACACACACACACACACACACACACACACACACACACACACACACACACACACACACACACACACACACACACACACACACACACACACACACACACACACACATACCATGTATACATCACTTCAGGGGACATTACATTGACTTACATGCTTTTCCTGGAGACTTATCCTAACCTTAACCATAACCAACACATGCCTAACCCTAACCCTGACCCTTAACCTTACCCTTAACCTTACCCTTAACCTTACCCTTACCCTAACCCTAACCCTAACCCTAAACCTAACCAAGTCTTCACCCTAAAAGTAATGATTCCCCTTATGGGGACCTCCATTTTGTCCCCATAAGGGAGGCGAGTCCCCACACGTGACTGTGTAAACAGATTTAGGTCCCCACAAGTATAGTAATGCTAGGCCACACACACACACACACACACACACACACACACACACACACACACACACACACACACACACACACACACACACACAAAAGGTATAATGATGGTGAGGTGGAGACCACATCCAAGATGACCGTACAGCCCGTGCAGACTGGAGTCAATGAGGTACTTTTCCCAGTACAGTACAGGTCTTTGAAGATCTGGAAAGATTCACCAAAAACCAAACTATTCTTTTAGTGACCAAATAAACAGCAATGTTCAGATCAATTACTTATTTATGTTTTAAATAAAGGTGAATGTATTCTTGAATTAATATCACTCTATAACCATAATACGTTACATACAGTAGTCTATCTGTTAATCTTTGCTGTCTTTTCAAACTAAAATGGTCTTGACCTCCTCTACAGTGGACATACTGTAACATTTAAAAATTAAATTAAAAAAGTCTAAATTGCAAGATGTTTTTCTAACCCTAAATAGGTAGGAAATACAAAATAAAGAAGATTGGAAAAAAAAAGAATTACAGCGTCGGAGGCGGGGTCTCGTTCTTTCCTATGAGAGCTGCTCATTGGCGCATGAGGACAAAATGGCCTGAGAATTTCGAGAGCAAAACGTCACAAATTACCCATCATGCGCAGTTTGTTTCCCCTTAAGCCCCGCCCACTCTTGGCTCAGTAGAATAAATGAAGAGAGAAAATAAATCTGGATTCAGCTTTTATTGCATTTTACAACTTTAAGGACCTAATGATTCTAATAAGGGCTATAATAGTGTTCATGCTGGGTAGTTTATTTAGGTAAAAAAAGTATCCGCAGATTTACAGACGTGTCCTTCCCCATGTAAGTCAATGGAAGTATTTCTGGTCCCAGTGACGTCACGGACTGATACGGAAATTGTAGTACCGCCGTTTGGCCACTATAAATATTTTCCTCAGAATCCGGAGCATTTCCTGGGGGCTTGGTCTGGCCCCCATTCGACTGCCCGTCCAGAAATCAAGAGCCAAATATATCACGCAAGGCTGAGCAAAGTGACTAGAACGCGACCACACACTTGTTTTTTATTATATCGGCTATCAGGTGAAATCAGTACATGGGCTACACATGTAAAATCATAATGAAAAATACGCCGGTAAAATGTGCCTGTAGTAAATGGCTTATGCCTCAGTACGATACGATAATACTTTAATGGTCAGATCAAGTCTTTTTTTAAGAAGAGGCAGGTAAAATAATATTTTCTTCTTCCTGCTCCTTTCCACCATGCGTTATAAAAAATAAAAACAGTATAAGTATACATGTTTTGTCGAAAAATTGAGAAAAAAGTCTGAATTCTGAGGTTTTCAAATAAAAAATGTTTTTCTCAATATTCCGACTTCTTTTTCTCACTCTTTAGTTCTGTAACTATTAAAGATTTCCAGCTTTAGATGCACTCGTAGGTTCCCACTCCTGGATTGTGTAGTGTACATGTTTTATTTAAAATAACTGCCATGTGTGGAATAAACAAAATAAATAAAAAATGTAGGACTAAGACTAAATAAATAATGGCAGACAGAACGAACACTACATTAAACACATTTACATGATACAGATGTTCGTGAGGCTCGAGTGTCTGCACACTGTTTTCATGCAAATGAAACCGCAGAGAACACAGAGTCCCATTTTCATGCAGACGTGCACCTTCGTCTCCAAGGTGAGCACGTCGTCTTCGAGCACCTCAAATGGAGATTACTGTGATTACTCACTCAGCCAAACGGTTTCCATGGTGACGGATCGGTAATTAGGCAGCGCTGCTCGGGGGAAGTGGGGAGGAGGAGGTTTATAATATTGTATTTCTGTCCTCATTGCCTCGAGGTGTGATATTAGGCTGTCAGCTAACGGGGGAGAAAAAGCGAGACGTGATTGCAGACAAGGAGAAAATATTTAGCAGTTTTGGTGTCAAAGCTGTGGCAGATCCCTGACGCCATATTGTTACACTCAGTGGGCAAAAGCTGCTCTTAAAAATTCCTCCATCAGGTGAGGAACTGATGCAATACATCGTTTCTGTTGAACCCACTTTCTGTTGCTAGGTAATTTACAGATTCTAATTCTGATAAGGGAAAATTGAGAGAAAAAGTTGGAATATTGAGAAAAAAGTCGGAGTATTGAGAAAAAGACTGAAATCTGAGGATAAACAAATTCTGAATGTTGAGAAAAAAAGTTAGAATATTGAGAAAAAAGTCTGAATATTGAGAAAAAAAGACTGAAATCTGAGGATAAAAAAGTCGGAATATTGAGAAAAAAGTCGGAGTATTGGAAACAAATCAGAATTCTGAGGATAAACAAATTCTGAATGTTGAGAAAAAAAGTTAGAATATTGAGAAAAAAGTCTGAATATTGAGAAAAAAAGACTGAAATCTGAGGATAAAAAAGTCGGAATATTGAGAAAAAAGTCGGAGTATTGGAAACAAATCAGAATTCTGAGAAAAAAAACAGAATATTTAGCAGTTTTGGTGTCAAAGCTGTGGCAGATCCCTGAGACCATGTAGTTACACTCAGTGGACAAAAGCTGCTCTTAAAAACTCCTCCATCAGGTGAGGAACTGATGCAATACATCGTTTCTGTTGAACCCACTTTCTGTTGCTAGGTAATTTACAGATGTTTTGAGAAAAAAGTCGGAATTCTGAGAAAAAAGTCGGAATTCTGAGGAAAAAAGTCGGAATTCTGAAGAGAAAACATTTGGAATATTGAGGAAAGAAATTTGAATATTGAGAAAAAAGTTGGAATATTGAGAAAAACAGACTGAAATCTGAGGATAAAAAAGTCGGAATATTGAGGAAAAAGTCGGAATATTGGAACGAATTCTAAGAAAACAAACAGTTTTGGTGTCAACGCTGTGGCAGATCCCTGACTGCTCTTAAAAACTCCTCCATCAGGTGAGGAACTGATGACATTCATCGTTTCTGTTGAACCCACTTTCTGCCTCTCGTTCCGCTTCTTCAGCTTCCATCAAAAGAACTTCCCAGCTTTCATAACTATTAAAGATTTCAAGCTTTAGATGCACTCGTAGGTACTGCTTTAGCACTATTGAGAAAAAAAGTCTGAATGTTGACAAAAAAAGTCGGAATATTCAGAAAAAAAGTCGGAATATTGAGAAACGAATCTGTATATTGTGAAAAAAAGACTGAATTCTCAGGATAAAAAAAGTCGGAATATTGAGAAAAAAATTGGGAATATTGAAAAATGAATTGGGAATATTGAGAAAGAGTCGGAATTCTGAGAAAAAATATGTAATATTGAGAAAATAATCTGTATATTGTGAAAAAAAGACTGAATTCTCAGGATAAAAAAAGTCGGAATATTGAAAAATAAATTGGGAATATTGAGAAAAAGTCGGAACATTTTCTCTCTTTTTTTAGGATATCAACTCTGTGTACCAGATCTTCCCTGATGAGGTTCTTGGCTCAGGACAGTTTGGCATCGTCTATGGAGGTAAATCTTTAAAAGATAATACGTTTAAAATTAGATACCTGCTTTTTGACAACATATAAGAAGTATAATGTTGAGAAGTCTCGTTTAGAACATAAAGTTCAAAATGTACAAGAAAATGAAAGTTGTAAATTGGTAGAAAAGTCATTATTGTCATCTTCACTCTGAATTTCATATTTTCTTTTTTTTCTTATTAGGAGAATAAGGTTGCCATATTTGGAAACAGTTAACTCTGAATTGTTCGGCTTAATCAAATTGTCACAACATAATAGGTTATATGAATATATGTATAATACTAATGCAGATTTTCATTTGTTTTTACACAGGTAAACACAGGAAGTCCGGTCGAGACGTCGCCATCAAGATTATCGACAAACTCCGTTTCCCCACGAAACAGGAGAGCCAGCTGAGGAACGAGGTGGCCATCCTGCAGGTACACACACACACACACACACACACACACACACACACACACACACACACACACACACACACACACACACACACACACACACACACACACACACACAGCAGTGCTGTTAGCAGTGAATGAGACTTCCTGTCGTGAACGCCTTCATTACCGTGGCAACACTGTAGGGGTGTGATATCCTGTAATTTCTCCAGTGCTGCTCAACCTGCAGAAGCTGCTGCTGACACACACAACACACACACACACACACACACACACACACACACACAACACACACACACACACACACACACACACACACACACACACACACACACACACACACACACACACACACGCACACACACACACACACACACACACACACAGAATACACTGCTCACTTCACTTCTCAAGAAAGGGAACATTATGATTTCCATCAGATTGTAATGCACTTCAATTTCAATTATTTTAACATAATATGGCATATGAGTCAAAAACACTTAATATAATCAAGAAGTATTTGCAGGTTGTTATACTTTATGAGAAGAAATCAATGTTATTCTGATTGTCTTTATCAGGACTGATTGATAATCACCATTATCCATTTAATAAAAATGAATGGTCCTGATAAGGATGATTTATTGTCGCTCCAGAACATGTCGTGAATGAAGGGAAACAAAAGTGATAGACAAAAGTCAATCAAATAAAAGAGTCATAATTATGTAAATAATAATGACGGTAAATCAAATGTCAGCAGTCCGGTTTTTTTAGGTCACAAGTGGAACCTCAGAATTCCCTAAAAAATCACGGATGTTAAAAATGCTGGTTTGTTTGTGCTTTGTTGCTTCTATTAATTATTGTCTATCTAACAAACATATCAGAGAAACACGGTCTGACTTAAATTGCAATAGTTATAGAGAGATGCGCAGCAACAGCAAATAGCAAGTGTGGAGGAAATTCTTAAGAGACACTGATAAATGATTCATGGAGGAACAGAGCAACTTCATCCTCAGAGAAGTTCTGCACCCTGAACACAGCTTACAGTCACACTATATAGCAGAGAGAATAGCCAACTGGTCCCACCCTTAAATTATCTTAGTCATTATCTGAACATCCCCATCATTAAACCATTAAACCCACCAAGTCCTTAACCATTTGCAGATCCACCTTTTGCACTTCCTTTGCCCTCCAGAAATGTAAATCCTTAAAGGTAGGGTAGGTAAGAATGGAGAAACCAGCTGGAGTGCGCTAGAATTTGAAAATACACAACCGGAAAAAATCTGCCCCTTCCTTCAGACTTCCTCACTGAGCCCCTCCTCCAACACACACGAACGCGCACATGACCAATGAGGGCACGAGATAAGTTTGTGCACAGATGGAAGGCTGACAGGCAGGTAGGCCATCCAGTTATTTTAGCCGGGCCGGCTCAGATAATTGGTCGTGCTTTTTACAGTACTACAGCTTCCACAGATGATATTTATTTATGGATTTATTGTCAAAGCACTTCAGATATTCATTGCTATCGGGATGTTAAGAGCATTCCATGGAATATAACAACAAGTGTTTCTGAAGTGAATTACCGACCCCACCTTTAACATATGTCTCTGTTAAACGCATAGAAGACTACAAATACAGTTTAACAGAGTATAAGACTCAATCAGAGTATATGACTATATGTTTATGGCCCGCGGACCACTTTGAATCGGCCCCCCTCAGCAAATTAAAAAAGTATAATGGAATATGGCCCACAAATGAAACCTGAGCTTGTCTTGTATTGTACTTCTTCAATATACCTGTGAACACATACACAGTATGCATGTGTTAATAAGACCAATGTTTCAAATAAATTCAGTCAATTCAAGTTGAAAACAATTTCTAACCAATCTAAGAAAAAAGCCCAATAACTTATTCACATAACAATCTTGAAATACACCCTTCATATTTCTCCTTATTATAATCCATATGAGGCTTCTGTTTTAAGGGATGAGCTGCCAACACTCACAAGAATAATTTACCTACATTTGATTGATTTAGCTAACTTATAACTGAACTTATGAGGCGATATACCTCTAGTGAGCGGCCCAGCCCTTCGTATGTTTTTCTGTATGTGGCCCTCGGTGAAAAAAGTTTGGACACCCCTGACTTAGATGAAAATAGTTTCTCCCCCCTCTCCTCTCTCTGTAGAGTTTGCACCACCCCGGCGTGGTGAACCTGGACTGCATGTTTGAGACTCCGGAGAGAGTGTTTGTCGTCATGGAGAAGCTCCACGGAGACATGCTGGAGATGATCCTGTCCAGTGAGAAGGGACGGCTGCCGGAGAGGATCACCAAGTTCATGGTCACTCAGGTACAGAGTCGGAATTCTGAGAAATATAATAAAAAAAGGAGGCGTGTGGCGCAGTGGACTAGTGCGTTGGGATCAGGGGAGCACAGGTTCAAACCCCACTGCAGTCAGCATGTTGTTGTGTCCCTGAGACACTTCACCCCAAAGTGCTCCTGTGGGGATTGCCCACAGTATTGAGTATGTAAGTCGCTTTGGATAAAAGCGTCTAACAAGTGACATGTCATGTAAAAATATGTCGGAATATTGAAAGAAAAAAATGTGAATGTTGAGAAAAGTCTGAAATCTTTATGAGAAAAAATGTGGAATATCGAGAAAAATTGTTGGAAAATTGATCTTCTTTAGACGTTGTCCTGGATCGTAGGCGATATTCAGCATCCAGTTGGCCCTTAGTGGAGCCAACTAGCGTTTCCCTTAAGCCAATCCTCTCCCTCACAGCAGCGCCAAATGAACGGAGAGGCTTGTGACGAATTATTCATTGTTGAGTAATCCTGAAACTGTGACCCTTTTTTAATTTCAACTTCAGATCCTGGTGGCTTTGCGTCATCTTCACTTCAAAAACATCGTCCACTGTGATCTGAAACCTGAGAACGTCCTTCTGGCTTCTGCAGACGCATTTCCACAGGTACTGTGTGTGTGTGTGTGTGTGTGTGTGTGTGTGTGTGTGTGTGTGTGTGTGTGTGTGTGTGTGTGTGTGTGTGTGTGTGTGTGTGTGTGTGTGTGTGTGTGTGTGTGTGTGTGTGTGTGTGTGTGTGTGTGTGTGTGTGTGTGTGTGTGTGTGTGTGTGTGTGTGTGTGTGTGTGTGTGTGTGTGTTCATTTTTATGTGTTATAATTCATTCATACAAACCTTTCTAACTTGTTGTGCAGACGTCTTTAAATTTGGGATATTTTATGAAATGCATATAGGCAAGATATGGACAGTATAAAGGCTCAGTAAAAACAGGTTTGAACTGAAAAGCCAAACTCAAAATGAGGAGATCCCTAAGGCAGCTGCCCATTGGATGATCCGGGGAGGAACATAAATGGAAGTGTGTCAGTACATTTTCCACTGGTCTGATTGTGAAGTGGGAAAAGGTGCCACAGAATGAAATGGTTATATGATTGGGAGTAAATTACAGGTATGTAGGGCAGGTGAGAGTGTTAAGACACACAAAGAACATACATGACAGCAGAGGTGGGAAGTAGTGGAGTACAAATACTTTGTTACCGTACTTAAGTACATGTTTCTGGTATCAGTACTTTACTCCACTACTTATTTTTCTGACCACTTTTTACTTTGACTTCTTACATTTTGAACACAAATACCTGTACTTTCTACTTCTCACATGTTGAACCCAAATACCTGTACTTTCTACTTCTTACATGTTGAACCCAAATACCTGTACTTTCTACTTCTTACATGTTGAACACAAATACCTGTACTTTCTACTTCTTACATGTTGAACACAAATACCTGTACTTTCTACTTCTTACATGTTGAACACAAATACCTGTACTTTCTACTTCTTACATGTTGAACACAAATACCTGTACTTTCTACTTCTCACATGTTGAACCCAAATACCTGTACTTTCTACTTCTTACATGTTGAACCCAAATACCTGTACTTTCTACTTCTTACATGTTGAACACAAATACCTGTACTTTCTACTTCTTACATGTTGAACACAAATACCTGTACTTTCTACTTCTCACATGTTGAACCCAAATACCTGTACTTTCTACTTCTTACATGTTGAACACAAATACCTGTACTTTCTACTTCTTACATGTTGAACACAAATACCTGTACTTTCTACTTCTTACACTTTGAACCCAAATACCTGTACTTTCTACTTCTTACATGTTGAACACAAATACCTGTACTTTCTACTTCTTACATGTTGAACACAAATACCTGTACTTTCTACTTCTTACACTTTGAACCCAAATACCTGTACTTTCTACTTCTCACATGTTGAACACAAATACCTGTACTTTCTACTTCTTACATGTTGAACACAAATACCTGTACTTTCTACTTCTTACACTTTGAACCCAAATACCTGTACTTTCTACTTCTTACATGTTGAACCCAAATACCTGTACTTTCTACTTCTCACATTTTCCAAACAGGCTGGTTCCTTTAGTTTGAATGTGTGTTTGGTGGCGTGATCATTATTATTTAGAGTCATTGCGTGCCTATTGATTTGAACACGATCCGTGTATCCATCATTTCCTGGTCTTCTCTAAAGAAGAGGGACCAATGAAAACGTTGTCATGTTGCCGTTGTTCAGCATGGAAACATTCATTAGCTAACAATGACATTATTGTTCTATTAATATAAAGGGAGGTCAGGTACTCTTTAAAACAGCTGCTAGTTATGGGTACTTTTTACTGAAGTACATTTCAAAGCCCTCTTTACTTTGACTTGAGTAAAGAAGTTTAGTCAGTACTTCTGCTTTTACCAGAGTATTTTTAAACACGAGTATCAGTACTTCTACTTGAGTAAAGGATGTGTGTACTTTTGCCATCTCTGTATGACAGGAGAAGAAACTTGATGTGAAACATGGAGTCTACTGACAAAAACTCCACATTTACATTTCAAACGTATTAAAAAAACACTGAAAGCATCTCAGGTACGGAGCTGAAACATACAATAATGTACCAGAAAAAGGTTAAGAGCTGTTTCGAAACCATGCTGCATTATATTCGGAGGTGACACAAAGAGAGGGACCAAACATACGTCTATAAGTCTACAGTGTATAAACACTTAGAGGGCCGAGGTGCAACAGGCAGGGAAACAAAAGCAGACGCAGACAGTCCATTAGCTTTTAGTCCAACTATTAGGAGCTTTCTGCAGTTTTCTCCTCTCCAGAAAAAGCTGTTAGTGTCAGACAGACTGTTCTCTGTTGTGATGATGCAACACACTTTACTTTCTGTGTATCATCACCAAACCTGCTACTCCGAATTATCAGGAAACAAACAAAAATGTCTCGAAGAGGTAGTGTGAAAACAAAGAGGAATTTTTTTATTTTATTTTATTTAGCCTTTATTTATATGAGATTTTAAACCTGTATAAATAAAGGCTAAATAAAATAAAATAAAAGGAACCCAAAGATCTACTTGAAGGGTGTATTTTTAGCCACACACAAAGAGACAAAGATATTAGTTTCTATGTGCTGATAATTGTTAACGATCCAATTAGCAACAGTTGGATATCAGAAATTACGTCAAGGACCAAATCATCTCATACCTAGCCAATTCATACTTATGCTTTTCACATTTTAAAGCTACTAAAAAGCTAATCTTTAGATTGGATTCAGAAATGTCATTTTGGCCAAATATGTTCTTCATATGTTGCTCTCAACAAGGACTACGTATTTCCATTTGTGCAGGTATTTGTTTATATAGCCAACAACATTTAAGCTAATCCGTTAGCTTTAAAGATAAGTATTATAAAACTTAAGACATTATAAAACATTATAAAACTAAATAACTTGAATCCTTGGTAAGGTAAACAGATATAATATTTATTAGATATTGTGAAAGTCTTATAGGAGCATCATACTCCAAGATGTTGGGCCAGACCAGAGAAATTTGACTCAGTCTCTAAACCGCTTCATGGGATAGTAGAGCAGACTAATGATGTGCCAATTCTTGTTAACCATCCAATTAGCAACAGTTGAAATATCAGAAATTACGTCAATGACCAAATCATCTCACACCTAGCCAAATGATACTTGTGCTTTTTCTTGCATTTAAAGTTTTTAAGCAAAATGTTTTTGGGCCAGACCCGAACAAATTGACACAGTCTCTAAACTGATTAACGGAATAAAGATCGACTATTGATCCACAAAACAACTTAACATGTTAGCATTGTTTTTTTAATGTTTTCTATGTTTCAGGTAAAGCTGTGTGATTTTGGCTTTGCGAGGATTATCGGTGAGAAGTCGTTCAGGCGTTCGGTGGTCGGCACGCCGGCGTACCTCGCCCCGGAGGTCCTGAGGAACAAAGGGTACAACCGCTCTCTGGACATGTGGTCGGTCGGAGTCATCATCTACGTCAGGTAGGACACAAACAGGATTTGAATCTCATACATTTATAGTTTTTTCCGTTCTTTTACATCAGGTCTAAAACCACGGGACTCAGAGACAGTTTCATCCCAACAGGCCATAAGACTAATAAACACATTTTTGAAAGAACATCCATAAACATACGGAGCCCCCTACAGTAGGTGACAAGGAGAAAGAAAACCTTTTCGCAAAAACATTTCATTTAGCTCAATGTACTTCCGGGTCAGTTCGGCAACACAGAAACCACAACAATGGAGCGGTTCATCGATTTTTACTTTGAGCTTGGCCTAAAATATAAAGATATAAGATCAGTGCTTTGCAATAGGCACGGGTTTCACATAGGTGAAAGACACCTCAAGAGAACACTCAGAGCGAGGGGACATGCTCGTCGCAAAGCATACTCTGAGCTGAGTTATTGACAGACGAATTTCGCGGATCAATAACTCATGAACATAACGTTGTAAAAATACAAACAACGTGACTTTACGATGTTTAGTCATCTGAGCTAAACATCAAGAATTGGTCACAATCTGCAGCTGGAGGAGAGAGGAGTGCTTACAAGGTCTGCAAACTGCAGGTCTGCAAACTGCAAAGCTGAAAAGATATACTCATAGAAAAACCAAACCCCTTTCACACATCAATAGTACATTGCTGCTCATACTACATCAGTGGTATCCAAACTACGGTCCGGGGGCCAAATGCGGCCTGCGGGCCATTTTGAATCGGCCCTCAGCTAATTTATAAAGTTTAATGAAATATAGCCCACAATATGGTGGGTCATGGTGTTAATAAGCCCACATGTTATAACAAATCTAAGTTGATAAGAAAAAAGCTCAATAACTTATTTACATAACATATATTTCACATGTTTCCATATTTCTCTGCTTTGGCAGTCTCAGTGGAACGTTCCCTTTCAACGAAGATGAAGATATCAACGATCAGATCCAGAACGCTGCCTTCATGTACCCTCCTCACCCGTGGAATAAAGTCTCCCAGGAAGGTATTTCACATTTAAGACCAAGCAACTGACAAGTGGATCTTAAATTCAGTCCAGTTACTTTTGGTACTTTACTGTAACTATATTTTGATGATAATACTTTTCTACTTTTACTCAAGTACCAGATCTGAGTACTTCTACTTTTACCCAAGTAACAGATCTGAGTACTTCTACTTTTACTCAAGTACCAGATCTGAGTACTTCTACTTTTACTGAAGTACCAGATCTGAGTACTTTTCCCACCTCACAAACATAAAAAAAAAGAACATTTTGGAAAGATAAAACTATAAACTGCGTCTTCCCAAGTTGGCGTTTTCAAGCAGATAACTCTGGTACATTTATGTTTCTGTAAAAACACACATTGAGTTGCTGCATAGGGTTGTATTGTATTAAAACCATACATCAGCCTTCCTCTACCAACAAAAATAAATTGTGTTAAACCTTCCTTACTGCCATGATGAAAGATGAACGCTTTGTTTCACCTCTCTGTGTGATTTGGTGCTTATTTCTCATCTTCTATCATCAGGTTATTATTTCTTCCTCCTTCAGATTTTCTCTGAAGTCTCTCTGGTGTTTCGTGACTCATTCTGTTTTCGTCATTGTCTATAAATGTTGTCTGGAATGGCCCCGTTGACTACGAGACAGATTTAAATCCGCCTGACTCACTCTCCTCGGCTCGTTTCTCCCGAAGTGCCGTTAACCTTTCGTCCACCTCCTCATCCCACTATAGCAACTTCAGAATAAACGTTGAAAGAAAGACGTTTCCTGTGAATAAATGTCAGAGGATAAACTCTTTGTGCGTCAACAAATCTGCATTTTCAAAGATCGCTCAGAGAGAAGACACTTTAAATGGATTCTGTCACAGAACTCATGTTTCCTTCTGCCCACAAACACGACTCGTAACAGGAAGTTTCATAATGGAAACACTTGAATAAAGACGTCTGGTTTATGATCACAATGCTGCAAAGATACCATGATCATAGACGGAATATTATCACAAAAAGATGTAACATGAGGCAGTTTTGGCAGAGAATAGAATAGAATAGTCAGTCAATTATTTTGTTTTTATCCAAGTTTATGATTCAATATACTGAGTAGAACGTTTTCAATTTAATGCTAAAAGCTTGATTGCATTAAACCACATGACTCTAAACGATTGAATGGTCTTTCATGCTATTAGGTGGGACAAAGTCCTCTTTATAAACGGTGGTGTTCTGTATGACGAGCTCAACAATGGTTCAACCAAACTGAGATTTGAAAAGGCAGAAAGAGACCAGAATCCTTTTGAGCAATGGTTTAATAAGAATAGCATATATCACCAGTCATTCGTGAGAGAAATTGTGTTCAGATTCAAACAGGAAGTGGTTTCGATTTCAGCGTCAAATGCACAGTAATGCCTCCATTAAACTGGAATTAATACACAATATGTAGCATTAGGAAAAATCTCTTTTTCAAACTTCAATAATGACTGAAAATGAGTTTAGAGTTAGCATTGTTGGATCTGGAGAAACACAGAGAAACTTTATATAAGATAAGATAAGATAATACTTTATTTATCCCGAAGGAAATTGTTGTACCAGAGTTACAAAGATGCAATAAAGCAGCATAATAATAAAACTGTACACTAACAGTGCCGTAAAAAGAGCAATTAAATAACTACAAGAAACATAGACAAATTGTACTTGAATGAATCTGCTTAATTACTTTCCAACAATACAAAATGCATCAGTAAAAAATGGTCATAATCCCCATGAAATCTGAGTCTGAAAGCCATCCCTCGACCGCTGCTTTAGTATTATTGGTTGGTCATGTGACACCTCTGAAAAGAGTAACTAATTGTCTTGATGTCTTTCATTTTTGTAAAGCACTTTGAATTGCCTTGTGTTGCAAGGTGCTATATACATTAATAAACTTGCCTTGCCTTGCCTAATGAGAGACGGGAGAAATATCTGAGAGAAAAACCCCTTGAGAAGCGGTGGGTACTTCTTGGGAAAGAGAGTTTTAGAGAGTTTTGGATAGTTTTATAGAGTTCTAGAGAGTTTTAGAGAGTTTTGGAGAGTTTTGGGGAGTTCTAGAGAGTTTTAGAGAGTTTTGGAGAGTTTTAGAGAGTTCTAGAGAGCCTTTTCGAGTTTTAGAGAGTTCTAGAGAGTTCTAGAGAGTTTTAGAGAGTTTTAGAGAGTTTTGGATAGTTTTATAGAGTTCTAGAGAGTTCTAGAGAGTTTTAGAGAGTTCTCGAGAGCCTTTTCGAGTTTTAGAGAGTTCTAGAGAGTTTTGGAGAGTTCTAGAGAGTCTTAGAGAGTTCTAGAGAGCTTTTTAGAGTTTTAGAGAGTTCTAGAGAGTTCTAGAGAGTTTTAGAGAGTTATGGAGAGTTCTAGAGAGTCTTAGAGAGTTCTAGAGAGCTTTTTAGAGTTCTAGAGAGTCTTAGAGAGTTCTAGAGAGCTTTTTAGAGTTTTAGAGAGTTCTAGAGAGCCTTTTAGAGTTTTAGAGAGTTCTAGAGAGCCTTTTAGAGTTTTAGAGAGTTCTAGAGAGTTTTGGAGAGTTCTAGAGAGCTTTTTAGAGTTTTAGAGAGTTCTAGAGAGCCTTTTAGAGTTTTAGAGAGTTCTAGAGAGCCTTTTAGAGTTTTAGAGAGTTCTAGAGAGTTTTGGAAAGTTCTAGAGAGTCTTAGAGAGTTCTAGAGAGCTTTTTAGAGTTTTAGAGAGTTATAGAGAGTTTTAGAGAGTTATAGAGAGTTTTGGAGAGTTCTAGAGAGTTTTAGAGAGTTTCAGAGAGTTTCAGAGAGTTCTAGAGAGTTCTAGAGAGTCTTAGAGAGTTCTAGAGAGTATTGGAGAGTTTCAGAGAGTTCTAGAGAGTTTTTGAGAGTTTCAGAGAGTTTCAGAGAGTTCTAGAGAGTTTGTGAGAGTTCTAGAGAGTTTTTGAGAGTTCTAGCGAGTTCTAAAGAGTTCTAGCGAGTTTTGGAGGGTTCTAGAGAGTTTCAGAGAGTTCTAGAGAGGTTTGGAGAGTTTCAGAGCGTTCTAGAGAGTTTTAGAGAGTTCTAGAGAGTTTCAGAGAGTTCTAGAGAGGTTTGGAGAGTTTCAGAGAGTTCTAGAGAGTTTTAGAGAGTTTCAGAGAGTTCTAGAGAGTTTTGGAGAGTTTTAGAGAGTTTCGGAGAGTCCTAGCGAGTTTCAGAGAGTTCTAGCGAGTTCTAAAGAGTTCTAGCGAGTTTTGGAGAGTTCTAGAGAGTTTCAGAGAGTTCTAGAGAGGTTTGGAGAGTTTCAGAGCGTTCTAGAGAGTTTTAGAGAGTTTCAGAGAGTTTCAGAGAGTTCTAGAGAGTTTTGGAGAGTTTCAGAGAGTTTCAGAGAGTTTTGGAGAGTTTTAGAGAGTTTCGGAGAGTCCTAGCGAGTTTCAGAGAGTTCTAGCGAGTTCTAAAGAGTTCTAGCGAGTTTTGGAGAGTTCTAGAGAGTTTCAGAGAGTTCTAGAGAGGTTTGGAGAGTTTCAGAGAGTTCTAGAGAGTTTTAGAGAGTTTCAGAGAGTTCTAGAGAGTTTTGGAGAGTTTCAGAGAGTTCTAGAGAGGTTTGGAGAGTTTCAGAGAGTTTTAGAGAGTTTCAGAGAGTTCTAGAGAGTTTTGGAGAGTTTCAGAGAGTTCTAGAGAGTTTCAGAGAGTTTCAGAGAGTTTCAGAGAGTTTCAGAGAGTTTCAGAGAGTTCTAGAGAGTTTTGGAGAGTTTCAGAGAGTTTCAGAGAGTTTCAGAGAGTTCTAGAGAGTTTTGGAGAGTTTCAGAGAGTTTCAGAGAGTTTCAGAGAGTTTCAGAGAGTTCTAGAGAGGTTTGGAGAGTTTCAGAGAGTTTCAGAGAGTTTCAGAGAGTTTCAGAGAGTTCTAGAGAGTTTTGGAGAGTTTCAGAGAGTTCTAGAGAGGTTTGGAGAGTTTCAGAGAGTTTCAGAGAGTTTCAGAGAGTTTCAGAGAGTTTCAGAGAGTTCTAGAGAGTTTTGGAGAGTTTCAGAGAGTTTCAGAGAGTTTCAGAGAGTTTCAGAGAGTTCTAGCGAGTTTTGGAGAGTTTCAGAGAGTTTCAGAGAGTTTCAGAGAGTTTCAGAGAGTTCTAGAGAGGTTTGGAGAGTTTCAGAGAGTTTCAGAGAGTTTCAGAGAGTTTCAGAGAGTTCTAGAGAGTTTTGGAGAGTTTCAGAGAGTTTCAGAGAGTTCTAGAGAGGTTTGGAGAGTTTCAGAGAGTTTCAGAGAGTTTCAGAGAGTTTCAGAGAGTTCTAGAGAGTTTTGGAGAGTTTCAGAGAGTTTCAGAGAGTTTCAGAGAGTTTCAGAGAGTTCTAGAGAGTTTTGGAGAGTTTCAGAGAGTTTCAGAGAGTTTCAGAGAGTTTCAGAGAGTTCTAGAGAGGTTTGGAGAGTTCAGAGAGTTTCAGAGAGTTTCAGAGAGTTTCAGAGAGTTCTAGAGAGTTTTGGAGAGTTTCAGAGAGTTTCAGAGAGTTCTAGAGAGGTTGGAGAGTTTCAGAGAGTTTCAGAGAGTTTCAGAGAGTTTCAGAGAGTTCTAGAGAGTTTTGGAGAGTTTCAGAGAGTTTCAGAGAGTTCTAGAGAGGTTTGGAGAGTTTCAGAGAGTTTCAGAGAGTTCTAGAGAGGTTTGGAGAGTTTCAGAGAGTTTCAGAGAGTTCTAGAGAGTTTTGGAGAGTTCTAGAGAGTTTCAGAGAGTTCTCGAGAGTTTTGGAGAGTTTCAGAGAGTTTCAGAGAGTTTTGGAGAGTTTTGGAGAGTTTTGGAGAGTTTTGGAGAGTTCTAGAGAGTTTCAGAGAGTTCTAGAGAGTTTCAGAGAGTTTCAGAGAGTTTCAGAGAGTTCTAGAGAGTTTTGGAGAGTTTCAGAGAGTTTCAGAGAGTTTCAGCGAGTTTCAGAGAGTTCTAGAGAGGTTTGGAGAGTTTCAGAGAGTTTCAGAGAGTTTCAGAGAGTTTTGGAGAGTTTCAGAGAGTTTCAGAGAGTTCTAGAGAGGTTTGGAGAGTTTCAGAGAGTTTCAGAGAGTTTCAGAGAGTTTCAGAGAGTTCTAGAGAGTTTCGGAGAGTTTCAGAGAGTTTCAGAGAGTTCTAGAGAGTTTCAGAGAGTTTCAGAGAGTTCTAGAGAGTTTCGGAGAGTTTCAGAGAGTTTCAGAGAGTTCTAGAGAGTTTTGGAGAGTTTCAGAGAGTTTTGGAGAGTTTTGGAGAGTTCTAGAGAGTTTCAGAGAGTTCTAGAGAGTTTCAGAGAGTTCTAGAGAGTGTTGGAGAGTTCTAGAGAGTTTTGGAGAGTTTCAGAGAGTTCTAGAGAGTTCTCGAGAGTTTCAGAGAGCTTTAGAGAGTTCTAGAGAGTTTCAGAGAGTTTCAGACGGACAGATGGGGGGGGGGAGGTTTCATGCGCAGCTCCATTCATGTGCATAATGGCAGAAGATGGAGGCCCCGTAGACCCCGAGCTGTTCAGACCGCTGACCCTGAAACAATGTTAACATCATGTTAGCTTTGCTCATTAGCCCCGAACAGCCCCTCGCAGCGTGAGCTCCGACCCCACATCCTCCTCCTCCTCCTCCTCGTCTTCTCTTCGTCTCCTTTTCATATCCTCATGCTTCTCTGTTTCTCATTCTTTCACTTTGTTTGCTGCACACATTGCTCCATCTCTTCTTCTGTACTTCTCATACTTCTTTCCTCCATCCTAAAAACTTAACGGCAAAGTTCCTAAACTTCCCTTTCTTCTTTGCTTCTCCTCCTCCTCCTCCTCTTATTGTTATTCTCTCTGCTCTTCCTCCTTCTTTCCTCCATTCTTTCTCTTCCTAAAAACGTCGGTGTGCTCTTCCTCCTGTGTCCTCGTCCTCTCCTGTCACCTATGACCCCTTTTATACACCCGGTGCAGCTAAACCCCGCCACCAAGTGTTCAAAATAGTTCCTTTGTCCTGTAAGTTTTAGCCTCCTCATTAAACTTTCTGTACAAAAGGCGTACGTTTGCAACACTTTGTCTTGCCTTGTTTTAACCGCAAAGTTCCTAAACTTCCCTTCTTTGCTCCTCCTGCTCCATAAGGCCTAACTTTTAAACAATCTATACCAGAAAAGTACATTTTTGGAGTCATTTTGATTGATTTGATTTGTTGGATTTTTGCGTTTTTTATAAAGTTGTGTCTGAATGTTTTATGATTGAAGACCAAATGAACAAAACAGACATTTTTGAGTGTCTGTTCATTCCTGGATTTAAAAAACAGAGTTTGAGTTTACGATTTGTCCACCTCTTGTCACATGACTGAACATCCATACTTCCTCCTCCTCCTCCTTCTCCCCCTCTTCCTCCTCCTCAACTCAACGTTTTCTCACTCATCACTCATCTTACGTGCTTCTTTTCTATTCTTTTTTGCAGCGATCGACCTGATTAACAACCTTCTGCAGGTGAAGATGAGGAAGAGGTACAGTGTGGACAAGACCCTCAGTCACCCCTGGTTACAGGTAGGACTTTGATGACATATTAGGAGTTTATTTATATGTTTATTATGTGAAAAGGAAGAAAAACAACACAGAGAGAGATATATGAAAACTGTCCATCGCCCCAGTTTCACGATGAAAGACTGAACAAATGAGATGAAGCTAAATCAGCTAACTCATTTTAATACAATGGTAACAACTATATATTTGTGTTTGTACTAAATGTAAAAAAATTTAACATTTTTGGAGTCATTTTGATTGTTGGATTTGTTGGATTTTTGCAGTTTTTATAAAGTTGGTCTGAATATGTGCTTATGATTGAAGACCAAATTAACAAAACAGATATTCTTGAGTGTCTGTTCATTCCTGGTTTTGAAAACAGAGTTTGAGGTTTCTATTTTTCCTCGCCCAATACACCACCACCTCTTATCACATGACTGATCGTCCATGCTTGGGTCACATGATCACATCTGAGCTATCTTGTTTTTTTTAGGAAGACAATTCCCTGAAGGTGGTACTACAGGAAATCATTATGGTTCATCCTCTCATAAATTAAAGGTGGGGTAGGTAATTTACACAAAAAAAATACACAACCGGAAAAAATCTGCCACTTCCTTACAGAGCCCCTCCTCCAACACACACAAACACACACATGACCAATGAGGGCACGAGATAAGTTTGTGCACAGATGGAAGGCTGACAGGCAGGTAGGCCATCCAGTTATTTTAGCCGGGCCGGCTCAGATGATTGGTCGTGCTTTTTACAGTACTACTGCTTCCACAGATGATATTTATTTATGGATTTTTTGTCAAAGCACTTCAGATATTCATTGCTATCGGGATGTTAAGAGCATTCCATGGAATATAACAACAAGTGTATCTCGAGCCGGTTTCTCAAACTTACCTACCCCACCTTTAAACCAAAACATTGGATGAGTGAATGATGAATGAGTTCACACTGCAAACATTAACACATTTTAAATCAAAAAGACACATATCCAGACATGTAAATGTCCCAATACTTCCCCCCCAGGACTACCAGATGTGGCTGGACGTGAGGAGTCTGGAGTCGCGGATGAACGAGCGCTACGTGACCCACGAGAGTGACGACCTGCGCTGGCACCACCACGCCCAGCTGAGTGGCCTGGACTACCCCCCCCACCTGCTGAACGGGCCCCGCAGCGAGGGCGCTCAGAAGCTGGAGCGGTACCAGGACCACCAGGAGGAAGAGCTGGAGACCCTGAGCGAGAGGGTCAGTGAACTCTGAGAGGGGGGGTCCCATCTGAGAGAAGAAACAACAACAAAACAACAACAAAACAACAACAAAAGCACAACATTAAAGATCTCCTATCATGCTATTATTAGGCATTATGGGTGATGTTCAGGTGTATATCAGTATGTAGTGTCTCTACTTTAAAGAGTCCTCTCCTGCTGATGTTCAGGTGTATATCAGTATGTAGTGTCTCTACTTTAAAGAGTCCTCTCCTGCTGATGTTCAGGTGTATATCAGTATGTAGTGTCTCTACTTTAAAGAGTCCTCTCCTGCTGATGTTCAGGTGTATATCAGTATGTAGTGTCTCTACTTTAAAGAGTCCTCTCCTGCTGATGTTCAGGTGTATATCAGTATGTAGTGTCTCTACTTTAAAGAGTCCTCTCCTGCTGATGTTCAGGTGTATATCAGTATGTATGTCTCTACTTTAAAGAGTCCTCTCCTGCTGATGTTCAGGTGTATATCAGTATTTAGTGTCTCTACTTTAAAGAGTCCTCTCCTGCTGATGTTCAGGTGTATATCAGTATTTAGTGTCTCTACTTTAAAGAGTCCTCTCCTGCTGATGTTCAGGTGTATATCAGTATTTAGTGTCTCTACTTTAAAGAGTCCTCTCCTGCTGATGTTCAGGTGTATATCAGTATGTAGTGTCTCTACTTTAAAGAGTCCTCTCCTGCTGATGTTCAGGTGTATATCAGTATGTAGTGTCTCTACTTTAAAGAGTCCTCTCCTGCTGATGTTCAGGTGTATATCAGTGTGTAGTGTCTCTACTTTAAAGAGTCCTCTCCTGTTGATGTTCAGGTGTATATCAGTGTGTAGTGTCTCTACTTTAAAGAGTCCTCTCCTGCTGATGTTCAGGTGTATATCAGTGTGTAGTGTCTCTACTTTAAAGAGTCCTCTCCTGCTGATGTTCAGGTGTATATCAGTATGTAGTGTCTCTACTTTAAAGAGTCCTCTCCTGCTGATGTTCAGGTGTATATCAGTATGTAGTGTCTCTACTTTAAAGAGTCCTCTCCTGCTGATGTTCAGGTGTATATCAGTATGTAGTGTCTCTACTTTAAAGAGTCCTCTCCTGCTGATGTTCAGGTGTATATCAGTATGTAGTGTCTCTACTTTAAAGAGTCCTCTCCTGCTGATGTTCAGGTGTATATCAGTGTGTAGTGTCTCTACTTTAAAGAGTCCTCTCCTGTTGATGTTCAGGTGTATATCAGTGTGTAGTGTCTCTACTTTAAAGAGTCCTCTCCTGCTGATGTTCAGGTGTATATCAGTGTGTAGTGTCTCTACTTTAAAGAGTCCTCTCCTGCTGATGTTCAGGTGTATATCAGTGTGTAGTGTCTCTACTTTAAAGAGTCCTCTCCTGCTGATGTTCAGGTGTATATCAGTGTGTAGTGTCTCTACTTTAAAGAGTCCTCTCCTGCTGATGTTCAGGTGTATATCAGTATGTAGTGTCTCTACTTTAAAGAGTCCTCTCCTGCTGATGTTCAGGTGTATATCAGTATGTAGTGTCTCTACTTTAAGAGTCCTCTCCTGCTGATGTTCAGGTGTATATCAGTATGTAGTGTCTCTACTTTAAAGAGTCCTCTCCTGCTGATGTTCAGGTGTATATCAGTATGTAGTGTCTCTACTTTAAAGAGTCCTCTCCTGCTGATGTTCAGGTGTATATCAGTATGTAGTGTCTCTACTTTAAAGAGTCCTCTCCTGCTGATGTTCAGGTGTATATCAGTATGTAGTGTCTCTACTTAAAGAGTCCTCTCCTGCTGATGTTCAGGTGTATATCAGTATGTAGTGTCTAGCTTAAGAGTCCTCTCCTGCTGATGTTCAGGTGTATATCAGTATGTAGTGTCTCTACTTTAAAGAGTCCTCTCCTGCTGATGTTCAGGTGTATATCAGTATGTAGTGTCTCTACTTTAAAGAGTCCTCTCCTGCTGATGTTCAGGTGTATATCAGTATGTAGTGTCTTCTACTTTAAAGAGTCCTCTCCTGCTGATGTTCAGGTGTATATCAGTATGTAGTGTCTCTACTTTAAAGAGTCCTCTCCTGCTGATGTTCAGGTGTATATCAGTATGTAGTGTCTCTACTTTAAAGAGTCCTCTCCTGCTGATGTTCAGGTGTATATCAGTATGTAGTGTCTCTACTTAAAGAGTCCTCTCCTGCTGATGTTCAGGTGTATATCAGTATGTAGTGTCTCTACTTTAAAGAGTCCTCTCCTGCTGATGTTCAGGTGTATATTCAGTATGTAGGTCTCTACTTTAAAGAGTCCTCTCCTGCTGATGTTCAGGTGTATATCAAGGTGTCTCTACTTTAAAGAGTCCTCTCCTGCTTGATGTTCAGGTGTATATCAGTATGTAGTGTCTCTACTTTAAAGAGTCCTCTCCTGCTGATGTTCAGGTGTATATCAGTATGTAGTTGTCTCTACTTTAAAGAGTCCTTCTCCTGCTGATGTTCAGGTGTTATCAGTATGTAGTGTCTCTACTTTAAAGAGTTCCCTCTCCTGCTGATGTTCAGGTGTATATCACTATGTAGTGTCTCTACTTTAAAGAGTCCTCTCCTGCTGATGTTCAGGTGTATATCACTATGTAGTGTCTCTACTTTAAAGAGTCCTCTCCTGCTGATGTTCAGGTGTATATCAGTATGTAGTGTCTCTACTTTAAAGAGTCCTCTCCTGCTGATGTTCAGGTGTATATCAGTATGTAGTGTCTCTACTTTAAAGAGTCCTCTCCTGCTGATGTTCAGGTGTACATCAGTATTTAGTGTCTCTACTGGAACATGTCTCCATGCTTTAAAGGTCTCCTATCATGCTATTAAGTAAGTGCATGTTGCTTGATAGGAGACCTTTAAAGATCAGTTGAATTGATAAAATAACTAACTCAATTAAAAATGAAGGGTTCTTTATTAGAGAGATATTAGGGAAGCACATTCACTACAAACTAAAACATCAGGTAATTATGACCAAGCATTTTATAATCAGATAAATATCTCTTGTTTTGCCTTCACAACATTAAAGTATTGTCATTTTGACAATTGTTTTGTTATTATGTCATCCTCTTATAGTAATTACAATTTTATTTTTATTTTGTAAATACGAATTTCTTGTCCTTTCAAGGTAATTTTATCATAAATAGGAAATTCATTTGTAACTAAAGTATGTTATAAAATGTACTTTATTAATCCCAATTTGTGATTTTAAATGTTTTGATCCCATATTAGTACATTATCACCAAAACTTCTATTAATAATGTTATGATTTATATTAATAAAAAAGGATTATCATTTGAATATTTTGTCTTTAAGTTACAAGATCTTTGTTATTTAAAGTGGACCTATCATGCTATATTTGAATACTATAGTGTAGGACCATACCTATATAAGGCATATTTATACTTTTTTTTTTTCAAAATACCAAACAGATCATGCATTTTAGCCATGCCTCATTTTGCTCAATTTGAAAAATGTTAGCTCTGTTTTAGCAAGGGCTGATTCTGTGAGAACAGCACCATCTACAGGCCTGGCATATGTACTACAGCGTCTCCAGCGCTTTCGAACGGCAATGGCCGTGGCTGTCTCCTCCTGATTGGTGGAGTTGGCCCAATAGCCGTAGCGCCACCGTCCTGACGTCAGGACAGTGTTCAAATCTGGATCAGTTTTTATCAGATCCGTTGCAGCCCCTTTTTTAGAGATTTGGGTATGGAGGAAAATAGAGAGGGTTGTGTTTTCTGACACTTGGTGAGTTCCCTGGAACACCGGGGACACATATTCATGTAGAAAAGACGTACACAAGTGCATTTTGCATGATAGGTCCCCTTTAGATAGGAATCTTGTTTTTAGGATAATCTTAATATCTCTTTTATTGAAGATAAAACAAGTACCAATAAAACAATTATCTCATATTAACAACATAATATAACATAAAAAACATCCTTACTTTGTAATTACAAAACGAGGATTTCATCTCCTAAGAAATGCTGAGTCATAATTACAAATTAAAACATATTATTTTATTTTCTGATTGCAATGCTCTTACATAGTTTTCAGACCTGATTCATAACTTATTGATCAGAAAACCCTGAAATCTGCACTTCTATTAGACAATCAGAAATAAAGATGCTGTGATGAAGCAGCTTTGACATAGATTGGAGAAACTTTCTAGTTTACGCCTCTTATAAAATCATCACTTTTCTACAGACCTTGCACTGATGATGATGAAAACACAGCTTTAAATGAGATAAATCATTTATAGAAGTCTCTGCCATCGTACAGCTTTCTTAGAATAAGGACAAGAAGATATGACCTTATATACAGGGGTGCACATAACTGGTACGCAGGTACGCATGCGCGGCAAAAATCTGAAATGCGTACCGTCACTTGTGTCACTAAGCGCCTTTGCGTACCGACGTACTTGTGAAGCTTGATCACAACGTTCACGGCACGCTCACCGAAGTACTCCACTAGCACCCCCCCCGTCGGCGGCGGTGGTGGCGGCGTTCGCGACACAGAGGGTTTCATCACAAATGCCAGATGTTGGAGTACCAAACACTGACTGCTGGTACTCATCTGAGTACCTCACTGAGAAAGTTATGTGCACCCCTGCTTATATAGAATATAGATGAGAGTAACACAAACGTCACTACCTGGCGAAATTACGGCCCCACCCACTTAATAGTTTCTTCATGTCTTAAAGCTGCCCAACTTCCAGCAATAAATAAATCCAGAGTTACGGTTTCTTTACTTCCTCTACAGAAAAAAAGGATAGTAAAAGAAACTCAGAAATCTCAGTTTCAGTGTCAGTCTGCTTTATTTAAATCAAACTATAAATCGTCGCAGGTCATCGGTGTCCAGTCTGACCATCATAATTGGGCTTCTTATTGATAAAAAAAGCGAGGTTTTCTTAATGTTTTGATGTGATGTGTACCGAAAACTTTTTATTTTGCCCGCAATTCAAATGACAGCAAATGTTTTCCCCCAAAAAGTGGGCGGGGCCGTAATTTCCCCCGAAAGTGACG